GTTCACTTTATCAACCCCAGTCCCCAATTGATTCGGAAAATCGACGCTCTACTGTATATATATATATATATACACTATTAAAAATTGAAATTAATAACTAGCATTAATCATTCACAAGATACTAATCAGGTGATTCTACTTGTCTGAATAGAATCAATATTTATTTTTTTGTTTGAATTTATAGAGAAAGACTACAAATATTCTGATTACTAGACTATATAAATACAGTACATTAATTATATCAATAGATTAATAACATTATGTATTCAAAAAGCAATAAAAAATTATATTTGCATAAGAAATTATTTATATTTTCATAAAAATAGTAATCTATATTAGTAATTTAAACCTCAAATAGCAATTTTTTTAATATAAAATTTTTGAATAGAAATGTATTCATTTAGAATTTTTACTCTCAGTTTTTACTAAATTATGAAGACATTATGATCTAAAATTGTTAAACAATTATTAACTACAATCATTAATCATTATACACTTATTTACATAAAAATTAATTAAAATATATAATTACCATCACATAACATTGTAATTGCTTCTTGTCTTCCTTTTCTTTCAAAAATATCCCATATACGAATAGTGTTATCTAAAGAACCACTTATCATAATAGATTGATTTGGACTAAAAGATAGTGAACTGATTGGTGCTTCATGACTTGCCAAAATCTGAAATTGAGTTAGAAATTAATTTACAGTTAAATATATTAAATATACCAAAACCTAAAATCATACATTTATATGTACTACTTATATGTAGAAAATTCAAAGAATGCATTTACACATTTAACAAACTGGTAATAAGTTGATAAAAAGTATGCCCTAAATTAAAAATAAAATTTCCAAATCTCTGAACAGAAACTGAAGAACCTAATCATTTTTATATAGATGTTTTAATAAAGCTCATTTAACCTTGAATTTTTTTTTATAATTTCCTATTATTCATAATAGGATTAATATTTATTAATTGCAAAAAAAAAATAAGATAAACTTTAAACTAACTTGGCTTCATGTACAATTCAAAGCCATTTTATAACAACAGTAAATAAGAAAAATAACTAATAACAGTAATAAATGTACTTACATCTAATAAATGACCATTCTTTACAGACCATACAAAAATTTCAAATGAATCTTTTGAACCAGCACATATTATTTCACCAAGTGGATCTACAGCAAGACACACAAATTGATTTGATTTGGGGGACGTACATGTTCGAAAATTACGATACCTAAGATTAAAAAAATGCTATTTTAAAATATTATTTAATGTCAAAAATCTGTAATTATGGAAAGTATGTTAGATAATCAGACATGCAATTTTAACCCAAAAAATATCAAGTATTTTGATATCAATAAAATGTTCTGAAGTTTCTCAGAAAAAATTAATTGTAGTATTCCATGCTACAATTAGTTTGCTTTCCAAAAAAATAATTTTCTCCTTTTTCTGGAACTAATTAAGTATGCATGAAAAAGCATGATTAAGTAATAGTGTTGCAATGAATAGTATATTCGGCCTCAGGCCGAATAGCCAAATTATCAGCTCGATTAACACACGTACGAAAATTGGCGCGCAAACCTCATTATGGCAAGGACCCCGCTCTCTGTTGGCCCGCTGTCACTACGCTTCGCCAATTGCGTTAATTATTGACAGTTGTAGCAGACAGACAAGAGCGCCATGGCAGTATGCGATAAATGATGATATCAAATGTGAATAACAACAAAATGACCTACATGTGTAAATAACAGAAAAAGAACAGAGAAGGACCGCGAAGTGAAAATGTGAAAATAAATACGAAATTCAGTAGATAACATAATCGAACAAGTCGAAGCAGCTTATTGGTGCGAAATTCGCGGCCATCAATGCCAAACAATTGTTGACATAGACTTTGGAAAGCTAAATGCTTTAATGAAAGTCACTTAGCATGCATGGGCGAAACCCTGGGACCGTTCGGGCTATCAAGCTGTCTCGAATCTGTGAAATCATAATTGTGACATATACTGATGTCCTATCTGTCTCTTTTCTCTGTTATCACCAGGCTACGAGTCATGTAATTATAAAATGGAAAAACTACGACGGAAAAGTGACAAATCAAAAGTATCGTGAGCACTTAAAAAGGATAGGCAGGGTCAGACCCTCAGATGTGCGACGATTCTCGAACGAATAGGTGTGTACGTGTGCTGATCTTTGTAATTATAAATTGTGAATACATGTGACTAATATTATTTTCTTTTTTATTTTGTGCATGTTATAAGTTATAAATAAATATAAACAAACAAGACTAACCCGATAACATTAAATCTAAATACCAAAATGATTAATTTACTGTGTATTTGTTATTTCTTACTCCTGTTTTTAGGTATTCGGTATTTGGCCGAATAGTGATTAAATATTTGGTATTCGGCCAAATAGCGAAAAATAGGCCGAATACCGAATAGTAACCGAATATTCGTTACATCACTATTAAGTAATCATGTAAAACATGTACAAAATTCAACAATATTTTTAAATGTACAGTTGACCTATCAGTTTATTAAATACATCAAAATCATTCATTAATCTAAAAATGTTTTCAGCCTTTATTAGGCTATCATCAGTTACTGATACATTTGAATCTCAAAATGAAACAAGATGGAATGTTCTATTTTGTTTCATTTTAAACAGTTGACAAAGACTGCATTTCTAGATTAATGAATTGTTTCAGTATCTTTAATAAGCAGATGGGATGAGTTCACTTTATATTTAATACGAACCATTTTTACTTTCAAAAGATAAGCCTAACATTATAACTATTTTATTCCAAGGGTATTCTTCCTTTTCTAAAAATTTTAATTTTTAATTATTTTTAAAATTAATTATAAATACTTTATCTTAAAACCGTTTTTCATGAATTTTGATGGCAAACTTCTATAAAAATTATTTCTAATCTCCATAAATATAAAATTATTTCATCAACAAAACTAACATCTGTACTAAGAGTTAAAATAATTATTGTGAAGAGCAATTTCAGAATATTTTTGTTTCTTCTATTGAAAAATCAGAGTATTTATCCAAAAAAACTACTGATATAAAACTCAAAGAGTAAAGCCTAGTTAAGAACTACTGATATAAAACTCAAAGAGTAAAGCCTAGTTCTCACTGGCGTAACAATGTGAATAATGTCACTTCAGCATAGAAGCAACACTCAGCATACTGCTTTCACCATGTAAAAAGTAGAACACTCATCAACTTCAACATTGACATCAAACATTGCTTCTATGTTGGAAATGACAACATCTGTGTTGTTATATCAACATTTTTTCGTGTTTTACACTAGTGAGAACTAGCCTTAACTTTGAAAAAGCTATAACTATTTTCTGTAGATTTATTTTTAAAAATGACCTGTTTTGTCCAACTTGATTCTACTATAATATGTTGCAATCTGAATGATATAATTTAGGTAATTTCAATTAATTTCTCAAATTAAAATAAACCTTTAAAAAATTATCACTAATGGTTAATTATAAATTATGATAAATAATTATAAGTGCTTACATAAATTACCTGTGCAAATCAAATAATCTCACTGTTCCATCCAGTGAAGCTGATACTATTGTTGTACTTTTATTTGTGAATGTAATACCTGTGATTCCACTTGTATGTTCAGTAAAAGTTACAAAACAAAATCCACTTGACACATTCCAAACTTTAATCTAAAAAATAGGGATTAGTGTTAAAATATATTAAATAATAAATAACTTTTTATTATAAAAATATAATTTAGTTATCTATAGCATTCTAAATTATAAATGTACTTTATTTATTTTCTTCAGTTCATTGTTAATGGTACATCTTTCTTTTTCTTTCTTAATTCTAAATAATTACATTAATTTATTTCTAAACAAGAGTATTAGGACATACACATTCATATAATATATTCTATTTAGATATTAATATATTTGTTGACTATTGAATAATTATTACAATAATTAATTAATATATATATATAAATGCAGCTTTTTTTTGTCATAGAATGCAATGGAATGTCGTTCCACCACCTTTTTTCGATATATTTTAAGTTTTAAGAGAATTTTTGAAAATTTGATGTTTGGTCCATATTGAATCNGCGGGACGTATTCCACTGGGATCCTGTTTGAGGTGGACCAGAATGTGAGCTATTGACCCTGCTCTAGAGTGGACTGAATGTTCATAAAAGCAAAGGGACAAAGACCCTCTGACAATTTTTTGAGGTCTCTCAACCAAGTTTGAAGACAGCACGAGTTTCCTTGAAAGATGTGCATGATTATGTCTAGACTCAGATAGCAGCCATCCGATCGTTAGGACCAGCATCCAGATTCTACAGATGCTCCTGCCAAAGTAGTCCATCTCCAAGTAAAGGAAACCGTGCTCAAAGAAAGACCATAAGGAACTTTTGGACAAACCCTGACATGTTTTAACTAAAAAACAGAGAAAGGAACAATCATTCAATCAGGCGATCAGGAACTGATCAAACGGCCAATCCTTGTGTATGTCACAACTAATATTTGGAAACACTAGCGTGATATAAATCGGTTATCTATCATCATAAGTTCAGAAAATTTATAGTACAAATATTTTCTGTATTTTGGTTTAATAAAGCATTAAAATAGGTACCTAATTATTATTTTTTTACACATATTACATATTTTATTTTAGAATTTATTATTAGTTCATTTAATTGGGGCATCTGCTTAACTGGGCCAAAATGAATTAATCCCAACATGTCCCAATTAAGCAGAATTGACTGTATTGATAAAAACTAAAAAAAATTTAGAAATTCTTAAATGCAAAAGGAAGGTTCATTAACAATATTAAAACTATTTCAATAATTAAACAAACTAATAATTATTTTTGACATGGATAATGATAATTTTCCATCTTCTCCACCTGTAGCTATATACTGACCATTTGGTGAATAAGATAAACAATTCAAATTATTAAAGTGATTTTGCTGTTTTAGAACAAAAGATTCACTTTGCCATTCCCATATAACAAGCTGACCCAAATCACTACATCCTATTGCTAACCAATCACCTGTACAATTGAAAGCAAGAGAAGAAATAGCTTGGTCTGATACACTATAGAAAAATAATAATAAACTTTCTTTATAAACAAAAACAATTTGAACTTAAAAATTAAATTAATAAGAGAAAATATGTTTATTAAATAAAATTTTGAATACAAAATTTTTTTAAAAGTAAAAATAACTAATATCATAAGTTTTTTAATAAAATAAATATCTTAACAAAGTAATTGAAACAAGCAAATATTTCTCATTTTTGTGATACTGAAAGCATTATCAAACATTTATATTCTAGAAATTTTGCCATATATCCATTTCTTCTTAAATCTACTACTTGTTTTAAAAAAATAACAAAAATAAGTAGTGTTATTTCTTAAGTACAAAAAAAAAGCTTCTAATTCATCTATTGAAATTCTGTCTGCTATTATCAAAACCGAAGGGGTTTTGTAGGAACTCATCAGTTTCTACTGCACTCTGGATCTGTGTTTGCTATTCACTACTACTTATATCTACTATTAAGATAAATAATGAATATCCTTTGAACAATGTAATCAAGATAAACTGTTGATTGGATAAAATAAAAAAAATTATAAATAAGTATTCATAATGATTCAAAAAATGTATTTAATACAAAATATGTCTAGATTACTTAACAATGATTTTTCTGGTTCTTTAAAACTCATTGTTAAGTAAGCTGTCATACTTATGTCACTTAATATCATAGAGTGAGATTACATTCATTCCTACTCTGTAATTCTTTTTTCTTATGGATTCCTATAAATAACAAAAAGGTAATGACATAACATCGAAAAGATCAATTAAAGCAGTTTTACCTTAAAAAGGAAAAACTGCTTTAATTGATTTTTCCTTTTTTTACCTAACTGGTTGCTAATCATGATAGATTTTAAATTGTAGTAAATGTCTTCAAACTTATCACCCCTTAAAACTCATTAACAACCCAAGGAGCAATATCACTCAGGTTGAGAAATGCTGTTTACATTCTTTGTCCTTCCTTGCATGTGATTATCTTAATTTATTTCTTTCCTGTTTTTCAGATGTCTTATCTGCACCTTTGTCTACCACCAATATGTACTATTGATATTATTTTCATTAATTTATCAATTTTCTTCTTATCAAAGAGTACATGACTAGTTAATGCAATCATCTTCCAACAAATCATTCATCTTTCTTGCCACAAAAGAGCTAACTTTTCTGATTTACTTTAGTGGAATGGAATTATCTCTCATCTTAGTAACTTTATTTGAATATTTCTGTACTGGCTGTTTCATTTACTTAATATAATCATTGTTAGAAGATATACAGATTGTTTCTCTCTTAGAGGAAATAGTAATAGTAATACAGTTGATTCTGTTTAATTGGGCCACTGGTTAATTGGGGCAGCTGCTTTATAGGGCCAAATCTCAAAGAACAAAACCAAAACCAAACTAATTAATTAATTAATACATAATTTAAATGCTTAATTGGAACAGTAGCAGAAAAAGAATTTAGTAACTTTTGATATATCTTCTGTAAACATGTCAACACTAAATACACTATTGTCATGTAGGCCTAACAATTGGCAGAGACAAAACAATTTTCTTTCTCTCAGGTGGTTTGGTTTTTCTGGAGGGGGTCAACATAGCGGGACGTATTCCANTTTCAAGAAGAATGAAGCTGCCCACAGAAAATCCAACTACTAAAATATGAGATTTTTTATGATAAGCAGCAGATGTAAGTGTCACATAACCAGTAGCCTTTAAGTTGTCTTTCAAATTATATCTAAAATAATAAGTAAAGAAATCACAGAATGAGAATTTATAAAAATTTATACACTAAAAAATTAGTTAAAATTACAACTAATTACTATATAAAGTATCTGTTCTTGTCACTTATGTAATAGATTTTTATTTATTTGCAACAACAAATTTTTATGAAGAGATAATGGAACATGGACAAACTTAAAAAAAAAAAATTGAATAAATTTTCAGAATTTCATTGCATTTCATTTATGTTTGAATTTCAAAATCATACTAAAATGTGCTTTATTCATAAATAACTAATAATTCTTATCACAATTCTTACAACTTAATTTAAATAGTTTTTGCTCTTCATAAATCTTTCTTTTATTAAATTTCATAATAAATTGATAAATTCAACAGTATTCTATAAACTGTAGATCATAGCAAATTATTTTAGTGGTACCTTATACTTTAAACATTCCAGAGTTTGAATGCTAAATTTTAAAAGAGAGAAATTCAAATTTCAAGATTTAAAGTTCAAATGATGCTTCTATATTCAAACAGTGCATACAGTAAAAATTGTGTTGATTGTGTAAATACTGTCTGTTGTGTGTCCAAGTTATCTCTTGCTCTTGCTTTGAAAGCATCACTTGTATTATGCTCATGTGTTTTCAGTCTCTTCTCACTTTATTTTTGATATGTTTGGTTATATACAGTATAATAAACCCTACCTATTAACCATGGCATCCAAAAAGAGTTGTGGAAGAAATGAAATCTAAGAAGATTGCAGTATTGATAATTGAGGCATGAAAGTAGTACATGTGTGGTGGATCTGGCAGCCATGTTTAAGATGCTGAAGTCAACAGTATGCTCCATTCTTAAAAATAAGGAAGCAATAAAAACAGCAAATGTGGCTAAAGGTGTAAAACATTGATCTCCAGGAGATCACATATTAAGGAAATGAAAAAATTCCTCCTAGTGTAAATAAGTGAGAAGTAATTGGATAGTAATATCATCTCTGAGAAGATTATTTGTGAGAAAGTCAAGCATGCTGCATAGTGACCTCAAGAAATGAAATATCACCACTCCTCACTAAGGTACAGTAAATGCAATTTTCATTTTATTATACAGTATTTACATATTTTATTTATTGTTTTCGTGATTTGATTTATTATTTAGGGCATTTAATTGTGTTATTTTTTCCTTAAATTATGCGTATTTGTTGCTTAAGTTTATGTCAAAACGGGTATTATTCAGGGTCTGGAAACAGATTAAAAGTCAAAGTAATACAGCGGAACCTTGCTTAATGAGCAAAACAAATTGTAAAAAATGACTTGCATAATGAGTGACGAGGAGAGGGGATGTCCTGAATTATGCACATGCTCCATCAGTCTGTGCTTAGCACCTGTTCTTCTAGTATCTTAGTGTCGCTTGTGATCACACATTTTACATATAAACATCAACCACCATAGTCCGTTATATAATAAACAGGCCAAACATTATGACAAATTCCAAATTAAATTTAGAAATGTCTAAATTAAAAATTAATTATTTACAATTATTAAATTTAATACGAGATGGCAGCATAACTGCCTTCTCGTATTAACAACTGACCTCTAGTCAAATTAATTAATTTCTAATATTTAATTATAGCCTTTACATAGCCAGGAAATTGGCCTATTTATCAAACATATTATCTATGATTTTTTTCATTTTCTGCAAATCGAATTCTCATTCCAGGTAGTTCATTCCATGCTAGAAAAAGAGATGATGATGATTCACACTTCTTAACAATGTATATTGCATATTTTTCTTTGAATAAATGTTATACATAAAATATTTGAGTATTTTTTCAGAATGGAATCATTATCGTATTTTACATTAATTTATATGGGAAAAATTATTTCATTTAATGACTGTTTTGCATTATGAGTAAGATTCTGGAACAAATTATGCTCTTTAAGCAAGGTTCCACTGTATTTACAAAATGCTATTAGTATTTACTATTCAATTATACTAGCACTATAACGGCTTTTCCTTTTTCAGTAGACTTATTACACCATAAGTATGATACACCATAAGATGGTATAATAAGTCTAGCAAAAAAGGAAAAGCCATTATAGTGCTAGTATAATTGAACACAAGACTAGACAAGAAGCATATTGCAGAAAGTATTTTGCTGATTGAATCCTAATCAGATAGTGATGAGCAAAACATAACTCAAATAATATTAAGGATCAAGTGATAAATGTTATATTATTTAAAATGGTTTTAATTGTCATAAGCCTGCTCTATATTTCATCAAAATATATCAAGAAAGATAGCTAACATTTTTCTGTTCCCCAGTTTGGAATCAATTCAACTTTCAAAAGGAAGGAAAGGAAGGAAAATAAATTTTGTTTTCAAAAGATTTTGTGAAATTTATAATATTAAAGTCAAATAGTTTCCTATGTGATTTTTTCAAAAATTAACTCTTTGTAGTAAATATTAATTTATCTAAAAGGAGAGTTTTTCTTAGCTGTTTCAGAAAAAACAATTTCAAAATTTCCTAAAGATGTATCAAAAATATCTTTTTTAAGTTGTGTTCAATTTTAAATGTGCTATAATCTTGTTTTTTGCTATTCCTTACTCCTGAAATTTTTCGGAAAGCAGAAATTTTCTGAATGATATAAATACAATAACATACGTATTTAACTGCAATTCAAACTATTTATATTTAATAATACATGAAAAATCTAGGTAATTATCAAATACGAAAATTTTGATAGATGTTTTTATTTTATTTCTATTGTAACAGCAATAAAGATCAATAAAAAATCTATTAATTAATAGAAAATAAATAAAAGAAATTCTTTTGTATACAATGCAGCTTTATTTGAATAAAAAACCGATATAGAGTACATAAAATATTTGATAACCAAAAAACAAATATTTTCCTCCTATTCTGTATAATTAAATATAATTTACCTTGCAAGACGTTTATAATATACTTTCTCAGACGATTCCATTGATTCATCTTGCTTTTCTGAATGTTCTAAAAAAAAATATATATATATGAAATCAAATCATTTTGATTAATACTAATTAATATTTTCATTCCTTAAGCCTCATCTAATCCAAACTTAAATAATTTCTTTTATTGTATAAAATAATAAAAGTGCAAATTTAATTATAATACATATATAAAATTATTGTATTCCCTCAATTCTAAGATGTCATCAATTAATTTTGAGATGTATCATAACTTTAAATTTTAAAATTTGATTTTTTTTATGAAGAGAAAAATTTAAATTATCAATTTTATTACGTTTTATTAAATAACAAGTAAAAACAATACAAATGCCATGAAATAGGTAATTTTTGGTAGCTCTATTTCCATTCTCTTCCATACAATAACTAAATTCTGTTCAAAAATTAAGCATAATCATCCAATTCATAGATAGGAGTCCAGGTACAGTCTACAAAATGATTGTTATTGGATAGGAGTCTGAAATGAGTAAGAAAGTGATACAGTCCCATGAATATAATGGAAAGATCAGTTTAGAGGTAGTGGTATCATGGTTTGGGACATTATGCCTGACTGAATCTGTGTTTTTGTGAGGCATGCCATTACTGCAAGGTATGCAGATGAGGCTTTGAAACCTATGAGAGACTTTTTCAAGATGCTGTGGCATAGATTTCATTTATATGAACAATAATGCCTACAATTGACAAGAGTGTTCTTGCCAATGACTTTCTTGACAATAAAGACATTCATCACAAGGGATGGCCAGTGAGAACTCCAGACCTAAATCCCACAGAACAGAAATACTCTAGGGAGACAAGTTGCATCCTACCAGCCTCAATCAAGAACACTCCAGAAGCTTCAAGTATGAGCTTTTCTCTTGTTACCAGATAAGCTCATTTGAAGTAACTTGATTGTTTAACAGTATAACCAAAAATGTCTATTAGAGGTTCAAAATATATCATAACATATCTTGCAGTTATCAATATTTTGGATTATGGATGTAAGACATTGATTCTAGAGTACAATTTTACTTCAGTACAAATTTGTAAAAAAAACTTTATCTTGGAATTGAGGAAATATAGTATACTAATATGTATTTATATGGTAAAATATTTAACTAAAAAATTATTTTATATTATAAATGTTATAAAGTCTATTGAAAGATTCAATTATTAATATACAACAAACCATGGATACTGTTGTCAGAATTATAAAGTCTCAAAACATACAAGTAAAAATATTTTTGTTTTATAAGCGCAATGTAGCGTAATAACAATCACTTGGCACTATTCATTTCTTTATTTCAATTTTCGTTGAATGTCACCATCTCTCTTTTCAATCATTAATGTTTTACTCAATTTTCCTTCTAAATCTGAAAGAATCTGAATACAATTGGTTCCATCAGATGTTGCAATAGTCAAGTTTTTATTATGAAAAATAACAGAAAATTTTTTAGTTAATCCAATTCTAGAATAACCAATAAATTTGGTAAAATCCCATATTATGAGTGTTCCATCAGTTGCTGAGGACAGAATTTTAGATCCATAATTGCCAAGTGATCATTATTACGCTACATTGCACTTATAAAACAAATATAAAAAATACGGCACAGTTTCAAAATAGGGCAGAAGAATTAAAATATAATGATAAAAACCTCTCATTTTAATTAGGATTTCAGTTCATTCAATCATTGTATTCTGACAGGTAGGCATTATTTAAGCTGTTTTTTTGTGCTATCAACATACAATTGTTACCATTAACATTAACCACTGCTTTAAACGTTATTTGGTTTAAATCACTATTTGTTTGCAGTATAACAATTTAAATTGCTGACATTCCTTCTTTAATTATACATTGGATAAATTATTATTAAATAATAACAATAATTGCAATTAATAAATATTTGAGTTATACATTTCATAACTGTTTAGTACATATTTTTAATGTCAGAGACAATAAAACAATTTCCATTAATAGTATTATTCTAATTCATTTTATCTTGCTTAATGTTTATCAGTCAGTTATCATCAACAGTAGAGATCTCAAAGAGTTTGCAATAAGCATATACTACTGTGTCTGTATGTGTGTATAGAGGTACACTATATATATATAAATTAATAACAAAAATTAATTTAATGAAGAAGTTACCATCATTATCTGTTTCTAATTCTTCTATCTCCTGTATTTTTTCTTCTTTTTTATTTGGTATAAGACCATCTAAATCAATGCTACATTCCCAAACACAGAGTTGATCATTCCGACTTAGAGTATATAACTTGTACAAATAAAGGAAAAAAATTTTAAGATGGGCTATTTTTATACACATATATTGAGCTATTTGCAATGATCTTGCTTATTTAAAAATTACATTAAAAAGTTTTCATGTAATTTTTAAATCAGTTTCTGTTACCTTTAATTTTTTAAATTTCAAATTCTGTTGTAAACTTTAAAAATTTTTTTAAAGTTGAACAGTTACTTTTAGAATTTGATTTAAAATGTTTTGTTTATTAAAAAAAACATTTTGGTGTACATTTTTAAATGTTTATCTGAAAATGAGACATTTTGATCTCAAAAACATTTTATCACTAGACAGTTATCATGTTTTAGCAAATTTTTGGTTTTGTTTATAGAAAACCAAAAATATGCTAAAACATCTTCAGCAATGCTAAAAGGAAGATTATATCAAGAACAAACAATGCCATATGGTTGGTGGGATTGCAAAGGTCTTTATTAAAAAACTGTTCCAATCCAATAAACTATTGCAAGTAATAGATATAGTGTTCAATTAAATAACTTACAATTAGTAATTGCTGTAAAAATTGCCTAGCACTAGTAAATAGGAAAAGAATTTTCTATTAAGATACTCCAAATTCAATAAAAACTTGAAAAAATTAAAGGATTTCAAGTGAGAATTTCTAAACATACTGTTATATTCTTCGAATCTTAGATTACCTCTATCACCTTTTATTTTTTACAGAACTTGAGGTAGAAAAATTTGACTATTTTAAAAATCTGTAAAATTACATTCAATATTCTTTTAATTCTAAGTCAGCAGTTGCCAACCAAAGTTGACCATCAATGGTCCACAAGAAAATGTTGGTGGTCTGAGGAGAAATTTGGACATTGATCAACTCAAAGTTACATGAAGTATTATAAAAGAAATGCAAAATGCTTGGTTGCTTATTCTTACTCATTAAGTGGATTTTTATTTGAGTCCAAAACCAAACACATGAAATGACTGTTATCAATAAATAATGTTGTAAGTGCAATTGTCATTCTTGTGTAAAAGAGCCAAGAATTCATAAACTTATTTCAAACAAGCAGCAAAAAACTTTACACTAATTTGTTATAATTAAACGAGTGAATTTCATATTAATAAAGTAAAATGTAACTTTTATGATGATTATTCTATAGATGTTTGTATTGTTTAAAAAAATTCATGACAATGGTCTGCTGGAAAGGTACTCTGTGAGTTTTTTAAATATCTGAGTTTAGTGGTCTGTGAGGTCAGAAAAGTTGGTGACTACTGTTCTAAGTCATTTGAATTTCATCACATGCAGTTACTTCACTGATGAGTTATAAACCAAACTTTTAATATAACTTTTATAACAATAATAGTGAAAATATTAAGAAAACACACCTGCAACCTTTTTCTATGTAAGGGTCGCATTTCAAAACTTTTGAACTGATGCGGGCCACATACAACAGAAAAGAGAAAAAAATGCTGATAAATCACAATTATTTATTCTTGTATAATTATAAATTAGCATAGATATACTTAATTTAGCTTCTGGAACTGATGTAAACATAATATATCAAAAATATTTGGTTAAATATTAGTCACTCCTAGTTTTAAAGTAGTTTTGATTTGAGTCTGTTAGCTGGTTTCTTGTTTTAATTTTTACTAAATTCATTGTGGGAAAAAGTATTCACATACATAAGTTGTAGAAAATAACATTTGAATTTTTGCTGCATACTTCCTTTAGCTGGGAAATTGATATATGTATTCATATTTTATGCCACTCGAGCTGAAAAAATATTAATGTGGGCTATGGGTTGCCCATCCCTGATCTAAGAGAATATCCTATTCATAAATTATTGCTTCTTGTTTCCACTTACTTTTTTAAATAACTATTTCAATTGAGATTATTAAAAATAATTTAAATATATTCATAAATAAAGTAAAAATATTTTTTATAATTACAATAAACTTTTACATTCATAAAACAAATAAAATAAAATTATATGAACATTAAATTATATTTTAAATAATTAAAAGGATACATCTAATGAATTTTCTTCAAAGAAACAACTTATTACAGTATCTTTATGACTTCCTAATGTATACACAGATAAATTAGAAAATTTATTTACTGCATAAATTTTGGTTGTCAAATCTTTGCTGCCAACAGCAAGAACTCTGAAAATATTTTAAATACAAGTAATATTAATATAATATTTTTAATATGGTTAAAAAGCTTTAAAAGTATTGCAAAATCATAAAAATTCTATAATAATTATATAATTCACTTTGAGTCAACTGAAGATTGTTCAAAGTGAATGAAAAAAATTTTTAAAATAAAGAATATTTGTTTGGTAACCTTAATAAGCAATATATAATTAATTTTCCTAGAAAATACAGTAAAATAAAAGAGTAATCTATATATATTCATGCCTATCTGTTTGTTTGACTATCATGTGAGAATAGCTGAACCAATTTATATGAAACTTTGTACATATACAGGAAGGACATTGGTTTTGGAAATGGAAAGTAGCTTTCAATTTTATAAGCTTAAATATAATAATAATAATTATTATTACAGTTGTCCCTTGATAATCCGACAGGTATGGGACCAAAGGTGTGTCAGATTACCAAAAGTGTCCGGATTACCGAAAATAATTACATATTTTGCATTGTTTTGCTAGCAGTAACTTACAATATTCTCTACTCCAACTGTTCGAACAGAACTGCTCACATAAAACACACAAAATGTGTGTCATCATGTAAGAATTGGATGGGGAGATTCACATCGCAACATGCTTCTGTGCAAGCAGACACGTAACGGGGATGGGTACCTTGACGGGAGGTGCATCGGACTACTGAGCATGTCGGATTAAAAAACGTCGGACTATAGACAGACAACTGTATTATTATTTGCTAGAGTAAATAGTTCTTGTCAGATTACATTAGATCTTTTCTATGAATAGGAAGTTTTGCCTAAAGACTAGTGTATGTGAAGTAAACCATAAAATTTGAATACAACAGGCTAATGCCATGATCATTAACAGGCAAAAGTAGACATTAGCTAGTCAAATAAAATTTAACTGGTCAGCCAGTTATTTGAATAAATCACATGAAATACTGAATTTATGATCATTGCTATTTTTCTCTCTATCAGACTGTCAGCAAGTCCTTAGAATTTATTTTGAGGTAAAATTGTTTTTGTAAAAAGAATATGTACTGTACTACAAAGTACAGTACATATTCTTTTTCCTTATACACATTTTTATGTGTGTATTTTTTTATGAGCACGTTAACTTTATGTAATATCATTTTCCTGATCAAAGATGCCCAGTCCAAATTATTGGAAAATCATTGTTACTTGAATTTCATCTTTAATTTATAAACCTACAAATAAAATTCTATTTTAATTTTATTTTGTATCTAATAAAGACTTACTCTATTTGCAAGTAATTTAGAAAACAAATCCACTCAGTTTATTTAAAATTTTTTCCTAACAAAAAATAATTATGTTAATCAATTACTAAATTATCCAATGTCATAAAATTACATAATATTTTTCTTTTCAAACATTTTTAATAGTAATGCTATTATTATGTTTCAATAAAATCAACATAATTTACTTAAATAACAAAATAATGAATTTTTAACGTAAAAGTAATTTTACTAATAAAAATTAATAATTAGCTTACCAATAACTTCATTTACTAATATTTTTACATATAATTTTAAAATTATTTGTGACATCCAAGAGGGAAAAGGAGAATAATTAGAAATAATAATAATTAAATAAATTAAGAACTATTTTTTTTTTGATGTAGAACTCTGAGATCAAAAGGTCAAATGGGGAAAGGACGACAAAACCTGAACACATCCTATTTTGTCTGATTTTGAAACCGATAACACCGATCAGATGATCATACAAAGTAACAATTATTACTAAAGTTGCAAGACAAACTCTGACCTTAGTCACCTCCAGCAATTAATTCAGTTTGTTTGACAGCTGTTATCAAATTTGTGTGGTAGAATGAGTAATCATACCAGATAGAAAGAGGTAATAAATTTGTCAAACATTCTATTTCTGACAATTAACATAAACAACACCCGGACACAAATCGAACTTATAACGGGTTACATCATACATAGAATTAGTCAGCTCTCCCAAAAATAGGTATAAAGAGGACTTGGACATGGTCCTCAGGGCAGACATCAACTGTGGACATAAACTGGGGACACCAGACCCATACTACCATTCTGTCCATTGCCACCCTTGCTGTCCCGCCATAATCGCTTTCTCTCTGCCAAAATGATCCTGACCTGAATGAAAAGATGACTACTGGTCAACTCCGCCGATCCAGGAGTGTTTCACCAACATCCTATACAATGAGATCAGGAACCACCAGTCTATGAGGTATCTTATATGTAAAATTGTAAACTTTCTCTCTCTATTCTTTAGTTAAGCAGTTCTTTAGCTATAAATAGCAGTAACACGTCCTTTGTATCTAACCTTAGAAAATCTTATGCATTAGGCTTAGTGTATATTAAATGCGTTATGTTTAACCCGTGTCATCCTTGAGTTTGGCCAACACCTTGTCACAACCTTGCTAACCCTCCCCACCCGATTTTTCAAACCCTCCTAACTTGACAATGAGAGCGGGTTCGTAAAACCCGCTCTCATTGTCAAGTTAGGAGGGTTTGATTAAGTGGTCATCAGGGATCACCCCGAGCCCCCGGCTGTTCACATATTATTAAGTGCTATATATTTTTCTAGTTTTCAATAAAAGTTAAATCTTGTTACACATTTTGTCATCTAGCTTTCTTAATTTTTTAAACATAAATTTCAAAGTAATTTTGTATAATCCACTATTTTATATTCAGTAAAGATAAATTTATTAAGTTCATCTATTAGTATTCATTTAAACTTTCATAAAATATTTTTTAATGCAGTTCCATTTTACAAACATTACTGATGAAAGTTATATGTATATTATATGTTTAAATAAATAAAAACAGTCCACTTAGGATTTCAAATAGAAAAGCATTTAATAAATTCTATAAATGTAAATGTATAATTCAACAAATAAGAGGTTTAATGTTATACAAGTTTTAAACATGAAATTTTAAGTTATATTGCAGAACTGAAATGATATAATTTACTCAGTATTAATTACTGAGTAAATTATATCATTTATTCATAAAATAATATAAATTTACTTAATGTAAATTTCTACTTTTTTAATGCACATTTAACAAACAATTGAAAAAAGATTCATTTGAAGTAAGAAAGTTATGCATAAAAATTATTATACAATTATAATATAATTAATTATTATTATATAACATTATTTAACATAGTGATTATGCAATTAAACAGAAAGAGCATTTCTAACTTAATATATAGAAGATAGAGTGGTAATATGAAACCCTTCAGTACGTACATAAAGAACAATTTACTTCACTCTAGTAGTGACAGCTAGAGCTTGTTTATTAGGTCACCCAAGACTAAGGGTCATAGAAAGGCTGGAGTTCCTAATTTTGTAATGGTGGTTGAGAAAGAAGCATTTTTGTCCTTTGTATATTTTGTATATAAAACCATGTTTGTTTTTAATTGGTCATGATTAAGAGATAACTTTTAGAACCAAACACTTTACCTATATGTTGTCATCTAACATCTTCATGTGTTTGAACATATTTGGTCCTGTTTATTTTGTTGTAGGCTTTAGTGTTTTTCAAAATGGCAATGCTTGTAATATGGAATCTTACAGTGCTGGTATTATTGGCCTGGCATTCATACTATGTAAAATGGCTTACCAATGGTAAAGCTCTCTGAGCGTAATCATATGGGCAAGAGTTCCACTGATATTTCCTGCACCGATTAGAGATATTTTTTTTTCTTTGTACTGTCATTTTCTATTATGGTAACATATGGCATCCAGATCCTTCATCCCTATAAAGACTAGCTTGCAGAGAAAATATGTTGTATATGTGACTTTTGCAGTTGAAAGAAAAATCAAAATTAATATTCTCTGTCCAATTTTTTAAACATTATAGTCTACTAAAAAACAAAGTATCAGATAGGTTTAAGTTTACTGTAATAACTTTTTAATATGAAATGCTGAATAAGTATTTATATGTTTGTTTAAATTTCCTATACTTCAAAAAAGAACGTAGTCTATATTGCCAGTATCTTGTGATTCATGACTGAATTGAATTTTTTCAATTTAGGAATGAGTAGCCAATAAAACAGAACACCTAAGCATACCAGAAATTAAAAAAATGAATTTATAGTTTGTAACAGATTGCTCAAAAACAAAGTGGGGTTCCACTTCTCCTTTGAGCAATCTGTTACAAACAATAAATTCAATTTTTTAATTTCTGGTATGCTTAGGTGTTCTGTTTTAAATAAAAAAAATATATATATATTTTATTTATTAGAAATAAGCATGCACAAAATCATTATTTTCAAAACTTTAATATTAGAAAAAAAATTTATCAATATTGTAAAGATATATTCAAAACATATTTTGCTTACTGTGAATCTGATGACCAATCTAAACACATTGTATCATCACAAGATGCAGAAAATACTCTATCTAAAATAAATGGATTATATTCTTTTGTGTTGGAAGTTGGAATTTTATATACAAATACAATATTTTCCTTTGTAACAGCAATATACCTATAAAAATATAAAATTAATAAAATTAAAAAACTAAGGTTAAACACAAATTTTATAATGTATTCAAATAATTATTGCTAATTTAAGAAAGTTTCAATAAAACTTTTTAAAATTAACAATCAAAATTTATAAATTAAATTCACAAAAAATTACTGGGATTCTGTCCTGACCACCTTCAGGTGTTCCCATATTTTGCATCACTTTCTATATTGTTGTTTCAATTTATAATAATTTTCTAATATAATTACCTATTCATTAAATGATTATAAATAATAAGAAAAATTTTAATAAAGACTAATCAATGATAACACAAAACAAAACAGTGTAATTTTTTTAATAATGTGAACCAAATTCATAATAAACAACTTTAAAAATAAGATATGGCACTTTGTTTAATTAATTAATTTATTTATTACATTAAATTTGGCGATGTCTCATGGCCAATATTTGCCACCCCCATTACAACAATCCCAATTAGTTAAAAAAACAATATGCAGTAAAACCAAACTGAAAAAACAATGATAGAATCCAAAAAAATAATAAAACAAATATTTAAAAAATTATTTGGAGTAAAGTATCTTTTTACAAATGGTTTTAATTAAATGCATAAACATTTTGGCATTCTATAAGACATTAAGGATGGTATATGGTATAAAATATTTTTAATTTCAAATTTTTCTGGTAATATACTTGATATCCATTTTCAAACAACTACTTTGTTTTTTTTTTTTTTAATATGACATTTATTTTTACTCAAATACTTCAAGCCAGTGTATCAACGAGTAAGCAAGTTAGTGATGCTAAGGTAGCTTTATATCATCAGATATTTTCAGCATTGGATAATCTGTTTTTTAACAATTATTATGGATAAAACATTATCTTCAACTTTATAAAATAATTTTACTAAAATAAAAATTTAACATTTATTCTTAAAATAGCTAATCTTCAAAAAGCCAACTTTGGTCCAAATTTTATACAAGAAGTCCAAGGAGCCATTTGCATACAAGATAACAACTTTCTGCAACATGGTTTGAAGAACTACTATTTCCTGCCAATAATAAAGCTTTGGATAAAATGTTACTAATTAAGATTTCATCAAGTGTAGTTTTTAACACTTTGTAAAGGTTGTTTATATGACATGTTTTTCAGTTTCACTTGGAAATTATTTGTGTAGTGGAACCTGGTTAACTCAAACTGGGATAACTCAAAGCCATTTTCTTTTCCCAAATATATAGCATAGGGATTTACATGTTAAATCAAACTGATTAACTTGAATGGAGTTTTGATACAGTATTTTCATAAACTCTCTGAAATTTTAATTTAAGTAAAATAATTAACATTTATCAAATAAATTACAGTAGAGTGTCATTTATCCAAAAGAATTCCAGTCGGCAAATTTAAATTTTCGCTAGTGCTGTGGCGCTGCAATCTTTGGCTATATCTTGGGCTACTCCAATATTTTTTTTGTTGATGTGTGTGTTTTAGCTGGCAGCACTGGCACTTTTGTGTGGTGTTTTTCTGAGGACTGTGTGTCGTGCTGAAGCGAACACTTTTGATACTAGATTAACTTCTAAAGTATAATTTTTTTGTTTTTATATATTTCAATATATATATTTTGTTTGTAAAAAATAAAGAAATAATTTTTAACGATACAATAGCCATGATTATTATTTTAAAAAGTTTACATTAGGCTTAACATCGACGAAAATTCAATGTGAAGCGACACGCAATGGAGAAAAATTTCAACATGGGATAGGTTAATATATTTTTTCATACAAAATCGGTTATCTGAACAACCCCAGTCCCCAATTGATTCGGATAAACGACGCTCTACTATAATAATAAATTTTCAATAAAGTGCAGGAACTAAGTATGACTAAATTAAACATTGTGTCAAGGTGATGGCGGGTGGGGTGGTAACTTCCAGACAGCATGTGTGACCTAGATACTATAACTGCCATTCAAACATGCTTTTTATTTTGAATGTTTTATTTGATTATTAATGGATTTCTCCAACTAGATCAGTGGTCACCAACCTTTCTGACTTAACGAACCACTAAACTCACAATTTTGAATCCCACAGACCACTATGATAGGTTTTTTTTTAAAATGATACAAATGTCTATAGAATAATAATCATAAAAGTTCCATTTTACTTTATTAATATGAAATTCACTTGTTTAATTATAAAAAATTAATATGAAGTTTGTTGCTGCTTGTTTGAAATAAGTTTATGGATTATTGGCTCTTTTCATTAAGGATGACAATTGCACCGACATTATTTATTGATTCATTGATAACAGTCATTTCATGTTCGGTTCTAGATTTGAATAAAAAATTCCCAATAAGTAAGAAGCATTTTGTATTTCTTCCACAATACTTTACATAATCTTGAGTTGATCAATGTCCAAATTTCTCCACTAACCAACAAAATTTTCTCACAGTGGCCCATGTACTGCCAGTGGTGACCACTGAACTAGCTGATATATTTTTAAAAAATGGCTTTCTGATAAAGTAATTTAAAAACAAAAAAAAAAAAGATTATAGTCTGATTCTGGGTAAACATTTTTAAAAATAACAATTGTAAAGAGTGGTATGTATGTGATAAAAAATATAAAACAGATCAATTGTAGCCTGCAAACTATTGCAATTTAAAAAATCCTTACTAAACTCTCAGGAGTGAATGGATCAACCATTCAGGAAAGCATTTCTCAGTAGCTTATTAACCATTTGGTTAAGTGTTTTTGAGTTTCTGAACACCAAGAGGTTTACATTAACATAACAATTCTATGTAATAAGACCATGGAAATATCATATGGATAGTTTATTATGGTTCACCAATAAACCAATGTACAAAATCTTGATTTTTAGCTGAATGTTCATAACTCAAAACATTTTAACTCAAAGTCTGAATTTTTTCTCCACAACTGATTCAAGTTAACCAGGTTTCACTGTATACAATCTTATTTATTTTTTGTTGTCATTAATCTATTTATTTTTATTTATTTATTTGTTTGGTGTATGGTATTTGTAAGCATTTTGTATATGATAAACAGCATATGCAAATCTAAATATCAGTAATCATAATTAAGAATTAATGTTATACTTACATCATTTTAAAAAAGCTGTTTTAAGAACTAATTATAGTACTTACAAGGAGAAGTTCAGATGTTTGGGTCACCAATTTGAACAAAATTTGGTAAGTTTGTATCCCTAAACATAAACAGATCCTTGATCAAGTAATAGGGCCCATTTCTCAGGTTTTTCTGAAAAATGGACCTCTGAAAATTGAATGTTTAGCTTATAAGTCTGGAAGTTTCATATCTCCTTGGAATGGCAATAGCTGACTGGACACTAGACACTAGAACTACACAATTTAGGTTTGAATCTTTGCAATTTTAGTTTCTTTTTATGTATAACATATTTTATTATTTTACCACATCATTACCATTATTATTATTACTACTACTATTACTCTTCATGTTTAAAGCTTATAAAACAAGAGATTAAAAAATTATGACGACATTTCCTGTTTAGCAAAAATGAAGTCTATAGATTTATCTCTTAAGTCATTAAATAATATTTATTTCTTCATATTTATTTTCACATATTTTTTCTTGTGGTTACATACTACATCACCACAAGCAAGTAAGTTTCAGACATTACTGCACATGAATGAAAAAGACAACTCTGATATGAAAATAGGGTAGCATAGTCACAGCATTTTTTTTAATTGTTAATGCTATGGACAATTTCTTTATGCACTCATTTTTGTTAGACTTCAAATATAAAAATACGTCCATATCTGAAAGTAAATATGAAAAAATAAAATTTTATTTAATGACACAAAAGAGTTGAATCTACAGAAACTTCTTTTGTGCTAAGCAAGGAATGACATCATGATTTTTTAATCTCCTGTTTTATAACCTTTAAACATAAGGAATAAAGGTATTAATAATAATGCTAATGACATTGTAAAATAATAAAATAATTATGTTTTACATACAAAAGACACACACACAAAAAAAAATAATAATAATAAAATTGTAAAGTTTTGAACATACACCATGTGGCTCCAGTGCCTAACATCTTAACCACTTGCTATTCTGAGGAGATATGAAACTTCCAAAGACTAATAAGCTAAAACATTCAATTTTCAGAAGTCTGTTTTTCAGAAATGCTTAAGAAGTGGACCTATTATTTAGACAAGAATCTGTTTGTGTTTAGGGCTATGTGTTCACCAAATTTTGTTCAAATTGGAGACCTGAATGTCTGACCCTCTCGTTAGAGTAATAGTGAAATGAATAAATAGTAAAACAGAAAATTCAAATTTAATTTATGATAGTTACTGTAACAGTAACTATCATAAATTAAAATTAATTGAAAATGTCATACCTGCCATTAGGACTAAATTGCACATCTTTTACTGGTCTCTTAAAATGGTGTCGATAAAATAATATTTTTCTTGTTAAATTAAATAGATATCCTTCACCAACTGAAATTTATAAAATATTTATAAATATAAAAACAAATTAAAATATAGAGAGAAATCCACTTATTGTAATCACTTTAGGACTTGCCTGTACTGATTCTAATGACTGATTGATAACATTAAGTAAGTGATAACTGAAATTAATGGAAATTCTGATTTTATTAACTCAAACATTAAAAAACATAAAAGCAGTTATAATATATATCTCAAGTATTTATTAAGTATAATCATTGTTATTAATTGACAGTAATTCATCAGGTATATAATTGAAGTAAGGTATGCCAACATTTAAATTACTGTACTGCAACTGTACAGAGTTAAGTCCACACATTATTTTTAATTTCTGGGTTTTCTTTTTGTCATCTTTTTTATTGTTTTTACTTGAGTTTACCTTTATCTTAGGAAATATTTGGAAAAGTGACCTGTTTCACCACAACTGTAACATTGAATGGAAGGCCATGAAAACTGTTGAGTGGACTTACTAATTTTGAGGATTGTGGACTGGGAGCAGCCACCATAACTGGACATCAATCTATCGTCTAGCATCAAAATTTGTACTTCTTAGCAATTTGTATAATTTGTTTAAGGAATAACAGTGACATATTTCCAGATATTCTTGTAACAGTAGAGGCATATGGGTAGTGAAGTAGCTAATACATGGGTTGTTCAAAAAGTTCCCGAACTTTTTGAATAGTGTGTCTCCAGCTGGTTATTTTTTAACCCACTTGGAGGCACTGCGTCCACAGAAATCTTCCAAGTAACATGTTTCAACCCATTTGTTGATATCTTGTTTTGGTGATTAGTTACAGCTGTTTATGTGACGTGGTGTTCATGAGGTTCGGCAAAAAATTGGATCTGCTGAAATGAGCTTTTTGAAGGAGCAGTACTGTTCTGTGAAATTCTGTGTGAAACTCGGGAAATCCTTCATGGAAACTTTTGAGTTGATTACCACAGCTTATGGTGAGAATGCTATAAAATGTACCACATGTTATGAGTGGTTTATCTTGTTCAAAAAGGGATGGAAATCAGTGGAAGATGAAGAGCCTTTCAGATGACCATCAACGTCAACTGATGACCCCTGCATCAAGAAAGTGAACAATCTCATTTGTGCAAATCGATGTTTGACTGTCAGGGAACTTGCAGAAGTGTGTGGCATCTCAATTGGTTCATGCTATGAAATCCTGCATGAAAAATTGAGGCTGCATTGAGTTGCCACCAAATTTGTGCCTTGCCTGATGACAGCAGACCAGAAACAACATAGAATTCAAGTCTGTCAGGAACTGTTTGATCGAGCTGAAGAGAACAAAACATTCTTGTCCAGATCATAACAGGTGATGAGTCATGGGTTTATGGATATGACATTGAAACAAAAGTGTAATCTTCAAAATGGGTGGGTGAAACATCCCCCACACCAAAAAAGCTCGACAAGTTTGCTCAAATGTTAAGGTGATGTTGATTGTTTTTTTTCGATACAAAGGGGATTGTGCATCACGAATACCTACCTACAGGCCAGACAGTCAACACAGAGTACTACCTGGAGTTGTGAAATGCCTAAGAAACAGAATCAAGCGAAAACGACCTGAACTTTGGAGGAGTGGCAAGTGGTTTTTTCACCATGACAACATGTTGGCTCATTTGTCCCTCAGAACTCGTTAGTTTTTGGCCAAAAACAAGACCGCTGTGATTCCCCACCCACCCTACTCACCTGACCTGGCCCCATGTGACTTTTTCCTGTTTCCCAAACTAAAAAGCAAGCTCAAAGGAAAAAGATTTGCCACCATTCCAGAGATAGGGAAAAAAAACCACAAAGGAGCTTATGAGCATTCTGGAAAAAGTGTTCCAGGACTGTTTCAAAAAGTGGAAACACCATTGGGATAAGTGTATACATTGGGGAGGAGACTACTTTGAAGGGAACCCTGACCTATAAATTGTAAGTGAAGTATTTTTTTTGTAATAAATAAAGTTCAAGAACTTTTTGAACAACCCTCATAATTTCTTTGTCTCAGGCTAGTGGCTTGTATGTTTGGCATAGATGGACTGTGTTCCAAATAAACAGTTCTATACTTCTCTTTCCATCATATGGTTAAATAATTGTTTAGCCAAAGTTATCTGGTTACTTGAGTTACTAGAACTTCGTTGATAATTATACTATAGGTGGTGGCTACAGAGTACTGTAAGTTATTCTAAGCTAAGTAAGCATAAATAACCACAAGACGAAACAAAATTCAAAAAACTCTGACCAAGGGCCTCACATTGGGCACCAATTATGTAATGCACTGCTTGATCAAACAATCAAATTTTTTCAGATTAACCTAATGAGCAGCAGCAAATAAAAACAATATATTTGAGTAAAATTAAAACTATATTGGCATAATTGCCAGACCATGTTTTTCCATTTTGCATTTTTTTGTGAAGGCGCAGCCTCAAATAAAAGGTTGTCTCTATAAATGAAAATTGTTTTGGATCATCACTGGTGTTGGTAACAATGGAAGAAGCAAAATAAAGACAATTTTGTAATATTTTATATTTTTAATGTAAAAAAAAAAAAGTTTGACCAATTTGTTAGGTCTTCAGACTCAAAGCCAAGAAAAAAAAAAAAAAATTGAACTCTTGTCCAAAAATGACAAACGAAACTAAAAATCCAAAACAAATGAAAACTTGTCAAAAAACCTCAATGACATGTTTATTAAACATCTAAGTAAACTAAATAACTACTCACCACACTGGATTAATGATAATGACACACATGGAACCAATTAGAGAGTAGGAATAAAACAACAAAAAAACAAACATTTTTGAACTCCTTCTGGGTTCTGCATCAGGTTCTTTACTGTTCCAAGATGGCTATTCGTTTATGGAATAACTTTAAAATAAGAGTTTGATTATAGGTTCAAAAAAATTTACTAAAAGCCATGTCACACATGCGCAACAAATTGGCCTGCCTGGACACAACGAGCGACTGATGCAGGTTCAAAAATGTTCATTTTTTCATTACAACACCATAATTGGTTTCAAGTACATCATTATCTAAGTAAACTTATAGCTACTAACAAGAAAAAACACACAAAATTCTAATTAACACTTAATAAAAGATATATATATATATATACTTTTTTTTTAGCAATTTGACAACAAATCAAAATAAAAAGAACATTTCTTAGTGGAAATTAGTATAAGTTCCTGATAATTAGGGAATTTATACTAATCTCCACCAAGAAACCAATAAGAGAGTTTGTAAGTTAAATCACTACAAACTCTCTTAGAATCTAATTGCCTAACCATCACATCAGGAATGCCAAAAATCCAATCACTTTTGACCACTAAGGTAATCTCACCTTAGAATCAGTAGCTTACCTCTCACTCGCTATCTTCCCCTCAACCTCTTTCCAATTCTCAGTTATTTTACACCCCTGTGGTGTGATGTCACTATAGCTCACACAACTCTATCCTACTTACACAGAAGAATTTTCAGCAACACGTTTTAAACAAGGTTAGTCCCAATATTTTCAAAAATTTATTTGCTGATTTTTTTAATCTGTGACAATTCTTTTAACACATTTTGGAGATTGCTTAATCAGAGATGTCATGTTTAGTTCTAAATCTTCCGACAGCTGGTTATATATTAGTAAATAATATCAACAAAACTTTCAAAAATATACTAACAAATATACTTTAATATAAATATGCTATGACAAGTGTTTTCGATCCTAATAGGATCTGCCTCAGGTCAAAATGTTTGATAGAGTTAGAATGCTAAAAATGCATTTCAAATGCTCTTTTAGCATTTGAATTTTGAATTCAAATTTTTAAAATTGCTGGTACGATTAAATATTAGAACAAGTTTTGACTTGAAGCAGATTCTATTAGAATTGAAAGCATTTGTCATAGCATATTTATATTAAAGTATGGTATATTTTTGAAGGTTTTGTTGGTGCTAGTCAGTTTTAGATTGGCAATGATGGGTTCACAAGTGACAGTCACTTACTTAAATAATAATTTTTTGTTGTGTTTGAATTTAGAACTGAGAAGTGTGAGAGCTTTTGTCCTTAAACAAAAAACAACACCAAATTATATTATAACTATAAATAAAACAAAAACCCAGAAACAAAAAATAACTTGTAGACTTGACTCCCCACACAAGTAAATGACAATTAAAACAATTAACATTTAACACTTAAAGTACTAGTTTGGTAACAATTGTAAATTATCAGCCATATATTGAGGTTAGTAATTCAAAAACTAACTTAAAAATGTCTATTTACCTAAAGACTATGATAGTAATAACCAAACTTTGATTACAATAGGCAAAGTTTTTGAAGTGTATTTTAACTTACAAGTTTTAGGATTTGCTAATTCTTATATTATTCAGCTGATAACAATATGTATGATTACAATAAGCAGAATCTATTGTATTTTAAAATCAATTAAAAAAATATAATATAATTTTTAAAATAACTGGAATTCAAAGGAACAAATAAGTAATTATTTGTTACAATTAAGATTAATAAACCATTACCTTCATTTACAGCAAATAATAAATATCCATTAGGAGAAAGAGCAATAGTTGTGAAATTATATCTGCTTTCAATTTGTAATGTTTCAGATTTGTTGCTGAAATTTTAAAAATACTCATTAATTGTTAACATTACAGTAATTTACAAAAAAAAAATAAAAAAAAAAATATAATTAATATTTTTGTTTTTATTTGTATAATTTTATAAAATATTGCAAATTTNAATTTAAAATAAATCAATCTATGTAAGATTCAATTTATTTCTTTTTACCTTCTTCTACAGCAAATAATATTGAATCTTCTACGATTTGAAGACAATTTCCATGAAGTTCATCTCTTAATACCTGTATTAAAGGATCAACATCACCACTTTCACCTGACATGAATGCGTGCATGCCTGACCACACCTATCAAATGTTTAAAAATACATGAAATTTTCATTTTAAATAAAAGTTTTCTAGATTTTAAAATAGATTCGAATTTCAGTAAATATTTTATTAATTAGCTGCTAAGTCTTCTTTTAATTAATATTTTTCTCATTAACATTACTTGATATTNTTAATATATTTATTTTGTTCGTACAAAATAAAAAAAATAATTTTTAACGATACAATAGTCTTCGTTAGGCTTAACATCGATGAAAATTCAATGCGAAGCGACACGCAACGGAGAAAAATTTCAACACGGGATAAATTAATATATTTTTCCGTACATAATTGGTTATCCGAAAAATAAGTTATCCAAACAACCCCAGTCCCCAATTGATTCAGATAAACGACGCTCTACTGTACTTTTCTTCTGACGATATCTTTCTTCGTGTGGCAAACCTCCTTTTGACAGACTGCCTTTATCGTATGTCGGACTTCTTCGTATGGCAATACCTTCCTTTGACGGACTGCCTTTATCGTATTTCAGACTTATTTGTGTGGCAATACTTCCTTCAATGGACTGCCTCGAGTGGTGGGAAAATGTCCCTTTTATTTGCTTTCCAGTAATGTGCGCAAAAACTCATGTGACTCATCATGAGTCAGCCTGGGAAAGGAAATCAACTTCCTTTCAAAATCAAAAGTTTCATCCATTTTTGAAAAATTTGTTAAATTAGAAAAATATTATTTTTCTATTAATTTTCTAATCTTTTCTTCACCTTGTAAATTTTCAGAATGACCCTCCCTGAATTCTCACAGCTATAATTAAACTTATGTAATAAGTGTGCAAATATTCGTAATGCCAACCTAAACAAGTTAAAACTTTTTGCTTTATACAGACACACTACGGTGGCTTTTTTCATGACACTTGGCAGATGAATAATCTGCCAAGTGTTTTGAAAAAAGTCACTGTAGTGTGTCTGTATAAAGCAACGTAAACTACAACACGGTTTCATCAGAATCAAAAAAAAAAAAAAGTTAAAACTTGATAAGTATGACAGAGGCGCCACAGATGAGCGATTATGTAAATACTTGAATAAACTTTCGGTTCAACCCAATATATACACATAAACGATATATAAATATAGATAATATATTACATTTGTAGGCATTTTTATGCATGAAATACAGCTAAAAACTATTTTAAAATATATATAAAAGACTGTTTTGGGGGTCAGAAACAGATTAATGTATTTTTTATTGTTTCTTATGGGAAAATTTATTTCAGTTTTAGAACAAATTGGTTTTCAAGGAACTTTTAGGAACAAATTAGGTTCAAAAATAGTGGCTGTTGTTTAGAGGTTTGACTGTACAGTCAAACCTCTAAACAACAGCCACTGATTGAAACATAAAATGGTTATTCCTCTAAGATTATTTCATATTCACTTCAAAAAGAAATGTTCGTTCCTGAAAAATGACTGCCATTTTGAGGTCATTGTTATGGAAGGCTCGACTGTTTACAGTACAGCAGATACATGAGCTGTTCACAGCCTGGCACACATATTTGTAAAATCTAAGTGACTTGTACAACATGGAATTCACATAACACAGAATTATCAACAGTGTTATAGTGGGACTACTGTAATTATAATATATATTAATTAAAAATTATAACATTATCAATTTAAAATAAAACTCAAAGTTTTTGCATTTCTTTGAAAGATTTAACACATAACAATAAACAAATAATTTATTATAGTATAAAACAAATTACATTATAATAATAAAGTTTGTTGTTAAAATATAAACTGAGTAAACCAAAAGATATTTTTTTCTGAAAAATAATTGCTCTAAAATATCTACTTTAGATAAAAACTTTCATATCAATGTTATCATGCTTTGACATTGATATGCTATCAGTTAAAGATTTTCTGCTTTCCATTATATATATGCAAGGGGAAAAAAAATAAATAATGTACAAATTAATATAGAAATTTAATTCTTGAAATGTGGTGCATGTAATTTCAATATTAATTATTATTAAATATAAAATATATTTTTTCCATAAAAACAATTTGATTTTAAATTCATATATATATATATATATATATTACCTCCTGTTCCTATTCCAGAAAATGAAAAACTGCTAGTTGTTGTTGTGGGAGTAGCTGATATAGCCGCTGTTGACGGTGTTCCAAATCCAAATGGTTGAATAACAGCAGTGCCTGATGTGGCATTAGTAGTATCTACTCCTAATGTGAAACCAGTGTTTGGTATAGTTGAAGGTGTTCCTCCAAAAGAAAAGCCACCACTAGTGGCACCAAATGGTGATGAAATGCTTCTTGGAGTGTTCATTGAAAAATTGCTTCCCACTTGGGATGTATTTCCTAAACCAGTTGTAAAACCTTGTGTACCTATACTGGTACTAATATTAGGAGAACCAAATCCAAATCCAGTAGCTGGTGCACTTGTTGTGGAAGGTAGTGAACCAAAACTGAAATTTGATGATGTGCATGGTGTTCCAAAATTAAATCCTCCTGTAGAACTGGTAGTTGCAATACCTCCAAATATGGCATTACTAGATGTTCCAGTATTTGTAGATGTCATGGATCCAAAACCAAATGTTGAGGTAGTGGTGGTGGCAGCAGGAGTGCTACCAAAACTAAATCCTGGAGTTGCAGTTGATCCAAAAGTGAAACCTAATGATAAAATTATACAAAAGAAACATTTTTGGATAAAATTATATTATTTTCTCTTATCTATTTATTTATCATAAGTATATTAGGAAATGTCTCTAGATAACTATTTTCTCTGCAATAAAAAACACACACACACACAACACACACAAAAGACCAATAACAAGAAGTTAAAATACAATAAAAGAAGTGAAGTAGAAACAAAAACAATATTAAATATTAATAATTACATAGCACACAAAAAATACAATTATATTTTAAAAGTTAAAATATAAAAATATAAAATTGATAAAATATATGTTTCCATGTATGTTTGAAGAAGAAAAATGTTCTACAATGTTCATATTTTGAGAGAAGAGATAAAAATAAAATCTTAGAGAGATAGATAGCCTACAAGATGGTGTAAAGATGCATGATTGGCTACATGTATTTTGAAAGGTGCTTTAGCCAATCTGACTACACATATCTATTAAAATATCTGTGATATAATAAATGATCAAAATATTTCACACATTCGTTAAAAGAGGGAAATCCCAAGCTAAACTTAACTACATTTTAATAACAGGAAATTAGAAAATTTATTTAAAGTCATGAATACACTATCCATATTTTTTCCATGTGAGAAGGTGCAACCATGGCCCAAACTGATAAGTGATAGTCAACTAGCAATTGAAAATTTGCAAAATAAATGGATCAAAGTACAGTTTTTGAAAAAACAGGTTTGCAAAATGCAATAATATATCTCAATGGATAGCAAGAAATTTAATATTTTGTCAATATGACCTTTAAACATGAGTTTCTTGAACAGAGAGCTTCTTATCCTTTTTTTGGGACTGAACTAGCATTTCTTGCAATAGTTTTTCTAAAGCTGTCAAAGACGGGACTATTTCCAGTCATTCAAAGTAATGGAGGTTAACTACCGATGTAAAGCAGAGTAAAAGCTAGAAAATTCATTGTTTATGTTCACTTCTTGACTGAAATCTTCCTCCTCAGCATCTCATTTGTGTGTAGATCTTTGCTCAAGTAGACTTGTACAACTGGATTCTTCCTTCTTGAGCTCTACTGATGTCTCATGGTTTTTCTTTAGAGATGTACTATCTTTCTTAAAAAGATCAGACTTCTGAATGTGGGATACACAATGCATCTTTTAGGGCAGGGGTCGGCAACCTTTTTAGTCGGAAGAGCCAAAATTACAATTTACAAAATTTCAAAGTTTTTAAAGAGCCACAAAATTTTTTCTTGCCAACAATAAATAGTACTTGCATAAATAAAGTTTTTTGATAAAAAAAACTAATCTATTTATTCATAAGAAAAAATATCTATTTATTCATATATAAGTAGTGTTTTTCACAACAAATTAGATAATAGAAACATCCGACGATGGCATCATTCGAGAGCTTCCGACGGACTGACGACAGTGACGACACGTGTCACGGGGAAGGGGTGCGGTGAAAAGCGAGTACAAGTGGCTGAGAGATAGAATCAGTGCCTAATCCTCGTTAATCGATTCAGAACGATTTTTAAATTTTTTTTTTTATAAAAATAAATAATATTTGCATATGGAACTAAAGAACCGCAGCTTCACATCCAAAGAGCCGCAGGTTGCCGACCCGTGTTTTAGGGTGAGCTGCTCTATCCCACTTGTATACAATCTACCATCTATATTAGATAAGATAGATCTTAAAAAAAAAAAAAAAGTGTTATACTCGAAAAAGTTGAATTTTTTGAGATGACTTTTTTCACTTTGATCTTTTTTTTCAGTAGACTAAAAAAAACTGTTGACATGACAGAACCCGTGAAATACCATTTAAACATTGTGATCAAATGTGTTATTCAGGATTATTCATTAAAAAATTATTCCTATTGCTAACAAGGGAATGACAAGATGTTCAGGGCTCCAATTCAAACAAAATTCGGTAAGCACACAGCCTTAAAACACAAACAGCTCCTTGTCCAAATAATAGGGCTCACTTTTCAAGCATTTCTAAAAATCGGGTATCTGAAAATTTAGTGTATAACTTATAAGTCTTTGGAAGTTACAAGTCCCAGAATAGCAATAGCCGAGTGAACGAGACTAGATAATGTAGGTTTTCAGAGTTTTAGTTTTGGTTTAGTTTAGTTAATTTTATGTGTAATTTATTATTTTACCATATCATTAGCCTTATTATTACTATTATTATTCCTCACATTTAAACCTTATAAAACAAGATTAAAAATTGTGACATAATTTTTTGTTTAGCAAAAACAATCCTCTGTAAATTTAACTCTTTTATGTTGAATTTTCCAATGGTAGCTGTATTACGTATTATATAGGTAAATGTCTCTTCAATCCGAACAAAATTTCGGTAGACTTTCTCACAGCTCTACAGGTTAAAAATCTCCTTTATTGTTTTTCACAGATGCATTTCACATTTCAGATTATACATTGTCGTGTAAAAGAAAATTTTATTGTATGTTGAACCTTTTTAAAGTTTATACAACGTATACTACTCTGTTATTGTTGTGACACTTTTAAAGAAAAACATGCATTTTTTTTTCTTTTTTTTTTAGTAAATATATGTTTAAAGGATAAAATTTGTTATAAATAAGTGATTTAAAACGTTACTAATAATTATAATTTGTAATTAGTTGTGTAGCATAATGGTACGGATTTCGATGTAAAACGCCCTTAAGAGAAAATTAGAAATTATAAATTTGAAAACATTGTAAATTGATAGTACAAGTACTGTAAAAGAGATGAAAAAACATGTGGGAAATCTTAAGGTATTATAAAATGTCTTTTTATGTCTTGTAAGCATTTTCTACTAAAAAGTTGTTTTTTTGTGTAAATTCAATATGAATTTGTTTTGTAGCACTGAAGAGGGGCAGGAAAGTTAAACTTGCCCGAAATGCATCTGTGAAAAACAATAAAGGAGATTTTTAACCTGTAGAGCTGTGAGAAAGTCTACCGAAATTTTGTTCAGATTGAAGAGACATTTACCTATATTAACTCTTTTATATTGTTAAATAAAACTTTTATTTCTTCACATTTATTTTTACATACTATGTCCTCACAGATGTTACTGTACATGGATGAAAAAGACAAGTGATATGAAAATAGAGTAGCAAGTCAGTGTTTTATTTTTTTAATTGTTAATATTATGGACAATTTCCTGATGCACTCGTGTTTGTTACACTTTGAATATCACAATACCACCATATCTAATAATAAATATGAAGGAAATTTTATTTACTAATGTAAGAGTTAAATCTGCAAAGACTTGTTTAATTGTGATGTCAATTTCTTGTAAACAAGAAATGACATCACAATTTTTAATCACTTGTTTTATGTGCATTATGCTTTATATGCATTATGTTTTATATGTATTAAATGTGAGAAATTATAATAGTAATAATAATGTGATAAAATAATAATATTACACATAAAAAAAAAGTAAACTAAAATTTTGAAGGATTGAACCTACAATGGTCAGCTCTAATTGTTAGCATCTTATTCATTTGGCTATCGACACTCTTAGACATGAAATTTCCAAAACTTATGAACTAAACAGTAAATTTTCAAAGGCCCAATTTTTGAAAACACTTGAAAAGTCAGTCCTGTTATTTGGACAAAGAGCTGTTTGTGTTTAAGGCTACATGCTTACCAAGTTTTGTTTGAATCAAAGACCTGAACGTTTGGCCCTCTCCTTGTAAGTGACAGTTTAACATATTACTTTTGCTTTCCAGATACCAAACTGATAAGGCTACCAGCACCTGCATTAATTAGTAAGTAAAACTGGTGGCGATAAATAATTTGAAATGGTGAAAAAAATTTAAAACTGATGAAATAGTGGCAATATTTTTAAATTTTCCAGAGAGACCCTGCACAAGATATTAATAAATTAATAAATTTGTGTTACAAAAAACTGAATCTAAATTTCAAAGTTCAGACATCTAACCATAAAAGAAAACAAATTTTGTTTAGTTTTTACATTTACATTTTATCTTTCAAAGTGAAAATATATTTTTTCATTTAAAGTTAAAATAATTAAAATACACATATCCCTCTTTTTACACAATTTTGAAATAATGCAGTTGACAAAAGAAAACTAACCCTCTTTTTACATGATTGATTTCTTTTTATACGGAGGAGAAAAAACTGTTTATTTGAAAATTTTTAATTTTAACTTTTTGTTAAAATTGTGTTATTAAAAACTTACTCTTTTTGTTGAAATCAAGTTCATTTATCTTTTTTAAGCATGGTACAATACTATATGTACATCAAAGAATACTTACTCTATGTTGATTTTGTTTCCTATGCTACCTTGTGTTTACTATTTTTATGAACAAATAATGTTAATGATGGATGTTAGAATAAAAAAAGCTCATGTTTCTTTTATGAATTGCTTATTTTTTCATTCCACTGAAGTTGTAGATCCTGACAAGCATTTTTCTACAGGATGCAAATACTGTACTTTTTTACACAATTTTTGTTTTATGCAGAGTTCTTTGGGACACATCCACCATGCAAAAAGAGGGATAGGTGTATATTTCACTGATAACTGGAAATCCTAACTGATGATATTTTAACAAAACACAAAACATATTATTAAATAAGTGAAAAATAAATAAAATTTAGAAACTTAGAACATTTAAAAGACACATTAATCATCAATATCAATATACAAACAATAAGGTATTAAATGATTTTCTTCATATAATAAATAAATTTACAGTTAGATTTCCATGTTACAAAGTTCTGGAAATGGCTTCCATCAGTAAGAAAACATTCTGGATGAAAATTTTGATTATTTAGATAAAGTTAGAATTGTTTGTTTAAAATACAACAACTTTTATTTAAAAAAAATAAAGGTTAAGCGTACTATTTTTTAACATAAATACATATGAATACTTATTATTTCAAGCATATAGCTCTTTCTCAATTTCAATAAATATATAGTAATGTCTTATGATGATTTTTTCATGTAAAATGCATGCACATAATTTATTATGTTATTAATAAGAGTACAAAGGTCTTTTTGTTGATATAAAGTATCATTTCAGTGCACTATTTTCTTTTCATGACTACTACATTTTCCATTTGACAAATTTTCTATATATAATGAACTCTGTATTTCTGAAAAGCAAGTCATTATACAGAAGTTTAATTGTATATAAAAGTTATTTCTAAAGATTCTTTTAAGTATTTTAAGCAAGCAAATACAAACTTTTATACTTTTTCCAGATATCAGCAATTTATAAATTATATACAAATTAAATTTCATCATCAATATGCTATTCATTTTTAATAAAAATTCTATTAATTTTAGCAAATATTTATTAAATTAGAAAGTTTTTTCAATATTTACCAGATGACATTGCTGGTGTTCCAAAGCTAAATCCTTGTGTCTGTGGTTGTTGACTTTGATTTCCTTGCCCAAAAGAAAATCCACTTTGTTGTTGTGGTTGCTGCCCAAATCCAAAAGTCGGTTGTGGATTAGACGACTGAGTAGTACTTTTTCCAAAAGGAAACGACATAATTTATCTATAAAAGTAAATTTTAACAGTTAAAATAACATTTATTTAGTTCAATAAAATAGTTAAGACTGATGATAAAATTTTATATATACAACATCAATTTCCATTATAAATCAATATCTATTTTCTAAATAAGTCTAATAAACATTTATTCTCTATACCAGTGTTTCCCAAACCTTTTCAATTCTCAGTGCTCTTGCTAAATCCAGGTTTTTCCAAGGTATCCTATGACAAATTCTAACAAGTACAATTTGCAAAATAGTGTAATAGTCAATAATTTTTTTCATTAAACAGTTAGGATGTTACATAAAAAATAATAATAATAAAAAATATAAAACATGTATTTAAGATAACAAAAAATGTAATTGAACAAATTTGATTAATTGTAATTAGCGGGATGGATGATCCTGTTGATCACCACAGATTTTCTCAAATCTTGGAATCAAACTGGACACAATCACCCTCATTTCCTTCTCCACATTGATTTTAGTGTGATACTTAGTTTTCATCACAGCAACAGCCAAAAATCCAGCTTTGCACAAATAAGAAGTTGCAAATGGAATTAAAATTTTCTGAGCTTTACCATTCAGAAGGGGATATTCATCTTTTACTGATATCCAATATTCAGTTAATTCCATGCTGCTAAATTTCGTTTCCAACATATTGTCACAAGACAACTCAATAAGATTATCTTCTGCAGCAATAAATTAAGATGGAGCACTGACATTAATTTAAATGAATCTTGAATCCATGCAAATTTATCAATATTACTATTTTGAATATATTTCTCAAACCCCAAGTGATAAGCTGTGATAAATGTTCTTCAGAAATGGATTTCATACTGTGAAAAATCAACTCCATTGGGGTCAAAAACTGTTGCAACAAGGAGAAATATTCTTTTCCTCCATCTTCATTTATTTTTCTTTTCCATGGTTTTAAATTGTTTATAAAAGCTAAAATTTTCTCAATCGATTTCCAAAGGTGCATGTTTTGCACCTGCAGGGAGAAATTCAAAGCATTCACCTTTACAAAAGCATCATATAAGTATGCTAGTTTTACCAAAAATTCTTCATTCACAAAATTTTCAGTATACTTGTGGTCTTCCTCTTTAAGAAAAATATAAATTACTTGTCACAATTCAAATGTATGAGACAAAACATTACCACAAGAGAGCCATCACAAAGTGCTATAGTACAACAAAGATACATGCTTGGTCCCATATTCTCACACAATTTTTTGAAAAATCTGAGTTTTTATAAAGTTTACTACATTCAACTACATATTGGCCACGTTTATGTAGTGAGAGATTAGAGAAAATGAAGTCACCAGCATCTATTGCCACACATTGCTGCATTAAAGTTAATGCCATCCCGCCTTTTCATGGTAATTAGGCATTAGAAACTTTTCACTCAAGCTAAATATGATGCCATATTCTATCCTTTAATTCCAGTTACAGCCGAAAGTAGTGCTTTAGTTGAAGAATTACAACATTTAAATAAAGAGATATAAAGAATTGAGCATTTCTTTTTCTGAAAATGTGAGCAAATTAAAGATATAGGAGATAGATAATTATATTTAAAATATGGTATTTTCTTATTCTTTAGATAACTTTCAGTCATTTTAAAAAATTTAATCCTTAATCTTTCCATAATATTTTAATCAACAATCATTTTGACTTTTCTATTTTCACAGCAAAATATCACATCTGTGACAATTGAAATTAGGTTATTATAATCAACATTGAATTCTTTTAATCTGACATTTAAAAGTTCAATGCATTTTTCAGCACACACAGATCCATGTGGGCAAATTCAAACATAGATTCCAAAATTTGTTACTTGCATGGAGATTAACATTCATATATCAATGGTTAAGTGATGGCCATTCATCACAAGATATACTGAAAGATTCTCCTTGAACTTTTAGCTCCAATATATCTTTAATAATCTCATCCTGAATTCAGTGATCATCTTTTTAACCGAATGAGGAGATTTAGGTAGATTCGCATATTCGCTTGCAGAGAAAAGTTTGTCTTAGGTCTTTTGATGTGCAAAATTTCGAGAATGGCAGTCCATCAACTGAAGCCATAAGAGATAATACTGCAGGCAAAGACTCGTCAATTTCTTTCTTGAAAAACGTAATTATTATTATTTTTTTTTATTAGATTCACTTTATGCACTGTTTCCAGCTGTCTCCTCAGATTTTCTTTTCAATAAGTTTATATCGTGACATCGTATGAGGTGACTACACAGTCCGCTAGTACTTCCTCCGACTGCTTTGATTGTTTTAAAGCACAGTTTGCACACTCCACCATCTCTTTCTCTTGTGTGATTGACGTAATCCCATGGCAAATTTTTACTCATTACTACAATAAACATACAGTATTAGGGAAAATGGTATTTTCTATTTTTATTTATCTTTTTATCTATAACTATCTTTATATTTTTACTAGCTGTTACCCATGACTTTGCCCGCAGAGGTTTTGCAAGCAAATCCCATTTATATTCAGTATTTCAACAACCATAGTAATTGTTATATAACACCTACCACTGAGAATAAAATGAACTGTTTTCAATTTGATCAATTTTCTGAAACGTTTACAATCATTCTATAATCGAATCAATATGCAAATTTGAATTTAAAATGGTTCGAGCATTTGGTTAAAAAATCGAAATATATAAAAATATTTATAACAATGTCTGAAATGTTATCAATTTAATACACCTAAGTACTCGATGAAGACTAAACGTAGTTGAAAACAAAAAATCGCATCTAAAATAGTACAGTAGAAGCTATTCTTCTGGTTAAGCCTTAATACTCTCCCCCTCGAAGGGAAATTTCGAAAAATCCCTTCTTAGTGTGCGTTTTCATGACGTTCCCTAACTGTATCAAATTTCACCTTTTTAGGTTCAGCAGTTTGCTCTGGGTGATGATGAACCAGTGAGTCAGTGAGGACAAGTAATTTTATATATTTAGATTAATGAATTCTTTTGTTTCCGTTTCAATTAATCTCACAATGAAGATTCCGATTTTTGAATTTTACAAAATCTGACTCCAGCATCATTAAAACACACTCCAATGAACAAGAAACACACAAAGTTAACAACAAGCTTCTAGTCTTGCACTTAATCCAGTTTAATTACAATTATTATTCCATTATGACAAACATTGGTAATGTTTGTAAAGAAACTGAAAAGAATATTACTATGTAAGTTGTGTTTTCAGTCAACACATATTTGAACTATTTTAAATCAAGAGTTGGAGTTGGTAAGAAGTTTCCTTTTGCACCTCAGCTATCTCAAAAGCAAAAACAAGACCCGTTTTTGGAGTATAATACAGGGAATCAAGTTATAAACAAACTAGAAAATTCGTTTTAGTAAACTTAAATTACAAATGGAATGACCCATCACCACCTGCACTGTTTTCTCACAATGGTATGGGATGAGAGAAAAGGGAAATCTTCCTCCCACGAATATTTCCAGTGGGAATTTAAAAAAAATAAATAAATACAGTAGAGCATTGATTATCCAACTCAATTGGGGACTCAGGTTGGTCGGATAACTGAAAAATCGGATAACCGAAAAAAATGAAAAAAATACATTATTAGTATATCGCTATTAACCAACTTCGCATTGAATTTTCATCGATGTTAAGCTTAACAAATTTTTAAAAAATAATAATCGTCACTATCGTATCATTAAAAATTATTTTTAAATTATTTTATTGCTCACAAAACAAACAACTCATAATTAGAAAATTAAGTCTCGTTTAAATACTGGCCGCCCTTTAATGGTCGAGCCGTGTTGCCACCTAAAACATGCAAAAATTTAACAAAAATAATATTAAAGTAGCCAAGACATAGCCAAATATTGTAGTGCCACATCACTAGCGGATATTTGAAGTTTGCCAACTAGAACGGTCGGTTAACCAATTTGATGGTTAATCAGGGGTCGGGATAATTGATGCTCTACTGTATCTGGTTCATTAAAAGGTTTTCTCTTTACTGAAATACCGGTAAAAAAATTAATTACCAGTAAATTTACCAGGGTATAATTTTCCTAATTTACTGGTAATGTAGTCACTACTACTCAGTATCATCCCTGGATCTCCAGTTAAAAACTATCTCATCAACAAATGCAGTGAATAATGATTATTATTCACTGCATTTGTTAGTGAATTGGATTTGGTACGATCTCAAAACCTGGAGAAAATTTTTCAGTTTAACCTTATAATAGATGAAAATCTAAAAACAAAGTCTGAAAATTAGTACAAAGAGTGGAGGTGAAAAACAACTAATTTTTAAGCATAGCAGTTATGGACACACTGAAACTTTGCTTCAAAAGTATACAAAACTTCATGTAAATACATATTTATATATAGCATTTCCTTTTTATCAAGTATTAAATATACAAGGTACTAAATGATCAAAATAAATTACATCAATATAAACTTTAGTATGAGTGAAGAATTCATTAAGTTGAACATCGCAGAAGTTGAACCCCATTCTTGAGTTTTGGGGGAAATATCCGCAACACAATACATATATCAATTCAACACGATCGCAACCCGACCTAAACTGCACACACAGCCATTGAGCTCATACAGAGTCTGGGACAGAACAGGCCTCTTTGGCATCTTAGGAGGCCTCTTCAGCCAATATTCTTTCGAACAAAAAAATAAATAAAATACATTTATAAATAAAAAGTAGTCTTAAATATTTTATTTTCTGTTAGTAAAAGTAATATTAATTTTATAGTGTAAGAATAATGTTTGCTATCCCTAATTTTTCTATGGTTCTTTAGGTCCGGGCCCTATATATATATATATATGTTAGATCACAGCCACACGCGCACGTCACAGTTGAACGTGATTTCACGTTCAACTGTGACGTTACGCGGTTGATCAAACCTCGTATTGATTGAACGTGCGCAATTCTGCACGTTCAACCAACATTTAGGCATTTAAATTGCCAGTTTATATTCTATTCATATCACCTGATATTTACGTCATCATTTCATGTAAAACTTTTATTTCGACTAAAATACGACGATTTTCAGATAAATCTTTGCTCATTCTTTTCAATACATTGAAATGCGTTCTTCGACTTTCAATGGTTCAAAATTATATTTCAACCGAATATTTTATTTACAGGAATGTTTCAATTGTAACAACGAGAAATAAAAATATTACAGAATAGACTTTTAACTTACTCTTTAACAATTTACGAAAAACAAGAAATCAGAAAGCACAGACACAAAATCATTTGAATTCTAAAACAAAACTAGCTGTTGAACAGTGCTGCCACTTTCTCTTCAACTGTTTATTTAATAATAAATAAAAGTTTTAATATATATTAAATAAATAACAGTATTATTAATATACTTTATTATACATTTAATAATATTTAATAAAATACTAAAATTAAAATAAATTGAAAATAATAAAATTTATTTTAAGCGATCTTTTGTTGCCTTATTTTTATTTTTCAGATCACGACAGTTATAATTTCTGATTTAATTTTAATTCGATCTTAGCGGATATAATGTAGGCGAAATACGAGGCGATACCGATTTCGACTATCTTTAAAAAAGTCACGAGTCGAAGACGCATACACTATCACAACGAGGATCATTTACCTTCGCTTGACCATTCATCCGACACTAAAACGCGCACTCGTTGTACTTTATGAATAAAATTTTTGAAAGGAAATTACTGTATTAGTTATTTTGTCAAGTAATCAGGAAATTGAAATGGCAAATTGTGTTTCCGTATTGTTTACAAATTATTGCTGGTAAATACCGGAAATTATCGAAAACGGTTAACCAGTTTTCAACAAAACCGGCTTTTAAATATCAAATCGATTTCAAAATAGCTTAGAATTCGGTAGAATTAATATTTTATTATTGCCTTTTATTAATATTAATAAAGTATTATAATAAATATTAGCCAAGATTTACTAATGAGCGTGTGACGGCCGGATGGCCAAGCGGTCAATGTGGCACCCTACCGCTCTGGGGTCCTTGAATCCGTACAGGTTGAAAAATTCCTGGGAATTTTCAGGGGATGATCCGACTGGATATATTGGCCCTCGTCCCTCACCACCCGGCCTGGTGAGGGACGGGCCTGGCTGAACCCATAATGGCTTGCTAAAAGGGGCCATTCTTAGTGTCCACAGGGCTGAAAATTAGCCGTCTCATTTTTAACGTTAGTAAATAAAGTGTATTTTGTATACATTTTTTTTTCTTTCTCTAGGAGGGGGAAAACGATTTGTTAATAAAGAATGATTTTATTGCATTATACAGAAAATACAATCACTTTAAGTCATGATGAAATATGTGGTTCAGAATTTCAAAATTTAAATAACTGTTCGTGTTAATCAGAAAAATTTTATTTTTAATTTATTACATATGATTATCGATATTGAAAATATTTACAAAGCTACGAATTTCATTTAAGCAAATTTAGTTGAATAGTTAGATGATTGAATAGACAATCATATAAATTTGAAATTTCCGTTAATCAATACAACACTGTAACAGTATTGATTAACGGAAAGATTATTCTAATATCTTTTAAGTATTTAAGTATTTATGTTTATAATGCTGGTAAAGTTACAACACAAAATCCAGAAAGAGGAATCGGCAAAGGCGTGCAGTCAATCCAAGTATTAGTAGTTGTGTTATATATACAGCATTCCCTTAGAGGATCAACTTGCAAAGTAGAAACTCCTCCCATAATATATATCTTTTCATCTGTAATGGTAATGCTAAGACACAGAATATGTTCAAATTAATTAAACAAAGAAAATTTTTTTACCTATTGCTACAGCTGTAACATTATGTCGTGGATAAAAAAGACTAGTTGAAAGTTTCCATTGATTTTTGATGTCATCGAAGACATGTACGTCATCAATGCTATGTAAGTATGATTCTTCGGATGAATAAGTTTGAGCTGCTCCGCCCAAAACGTATAACAAATCGTGACATTGGATTAAAGTTACAAAACTTCGAGGTGTAGGCAACCGCGATATTCCCGATAGCCAACTGAAATATGATATAAATTATAATAGTAATTTTTATTTTGAAATACTGTATATTTTACAATAACAATTTTCTTACCGTTGGCATAACGGATCAAAACATTCGATATCCTTATCTATATGAGGATCAGATTTTTCTGTTGGTTGTATTATTCCTCCCACAATCCAAAGAAGATCATTATGAGTGGCAACACCCATGGCCATTCGAGCACAATATAGGGAGGGTTGAAGTTCTATCCAATTATTTGTATCAGGTTTATAATATTCAACGGAAGAAAGAAGCCTTTTATCAGAAGACAAAATAAAAATCAATTAAAATTATTTTAAAAAATAAAAAATATGAGTAACTGAATAATGCTTACTCTCCGTTATCATCTTTTCCTCCTACAACATATATATTTCTATAAATTTCGGCTGCTCCGTGGTATATTCGAGCATGTTTCATATCAGCTATTCTATTCCATTCATCATTTAATGTATCATATCGAAAACAACTTCTACTAGGTATTAGATGTCTCAACAAGGTATTTCTGCTATCGCAGCCACCTTATTAATATTAACAAAATTTTAATTAACTTCTTTTATTTGAGAAATATTCACACTGAAAAAATTTAACGTACCTATAATATAAAGGTTTTCTTCAAATAGCACAATGCAATGGTGATGACGATAAATTGGCATTTTATTCCACTGTTCCCAAATATTTTCTTTAGGATTAAAACGAAGAATTGCACTTCCTGTAATAGAATTTTGTTTTTAATTAATAAAATTATTCATATTCAAATTTGAACGTATAATGATCTTACCTTTTGAAATCTCTTCGTTTATAGAAGGATTGATACCACCTATTGCTACAACAACGGAAGTATCAGCTAATCTAAGAGAATCGTGAATTTTTGGGATATTAATGGATGTTTTAACAATAGAATATGAATCAATGCTATGCAATGTAATAGAAGAAGGATGTTGTAACAGTAAATGAAGACAAGGATCGCAAAGAAAACCCTCCATATGACTAATTTTCTCTTCTACAATCTGTGTTATTATTGAAATATTTCATACAGTAAATAAAGTAATCAAAGTTAAGTTTCATTCTTTATATTATATACATACATCAGGTTTACTCAAAATTGGCTTCCATTTATTTCTGGTCAAAGTTCCTCTCCAATAAGCTTGAGCTTTGAGGACAAATTCTTTTTGTGCTTTTTCTTTCAATTTTTTTCTAACAGCATAACCACGAAAGACACTTTGAATTCTAATAATAATTCTCCTGATATTTGTACACTTAGATGGAACATATAATTTTCTGTTAACACTCTTCTGCAAGATAACTTTTATTTTAAAAAACTGTAACTTTAAAACTGTATATAAGAATACCTTTAACAATTATTTATATTTATTTAGATCTACTTTTTCATCAAATTTATGTATAGTAGAATAACGATAAAGGAAAAACCGTGGTGAACAGGAAAATTCTTTAAATTTTGATTCTTTCCCCTTCGTTGAAGCTGCTATAAAGCTAAAATTTTACATATATGTTAAAAAATATAATTGCATCATTTGTTCCTTGTGTAATTGTTAATTAATTATATTTAATTCTTACCAAGTAGCTTTTAATAGCATGTTTGCAACTTCTGGAAATTCAGCGATTTCTGGTAAAATCGGAGGATTATAACAAGAAAGGATTTCTTCCATTGTCATCAATGGAAATCGTATACAACTCATAACTTTGACAGTATATTTTTCTCTTTCTATGAATCTATGATTAAGCCATTTTAGCGAACACAAGAACACATCTTTCTCACTATAAAAATTTCCGCAACTTTACGGAATGCATTGGAAAGTAAAAACATTTTTAATATATAAAATTTTACCTGTATGTTCCTATTTTATCTGCGCAAAGTAGTTCACATAACGAATCTACATCTAAATTGAGAAATTCTATTTTATTTGATACCTTATTAAAATGTTGTAAGATAGCATTAAAGGCCTGCTGATAAGTCTCTTGAATTCCTAACTTCTTGGCGGTAGTGTAAAGAAAAATATTGTTGGAAATATCGTCGTTTTGATTTATCAACATCTAGAAATGTTAATTATTTAAAATTTCAGAAGAAAATTAATTTTTAATAAAATTTTATTTACCTTTTTGCAATATTCGGAGATATCTTTCATTTGTAAGATGCGGGCAGCGCGATAAATATCTGATAAATTTCGGCAAGTGACGTTTATTTGACCAGTGTACATGTAATTTAAAAGAATTTTGAAAGAATCGGGATCTACATTCTGTAGTTTGATCTGTAATGTTGAATGGTAGTGTAATTGATATTTTTAAAATGCTAATCTGTATAAAGATTTGAATCATATAACCTTTTGAATATTTTGTTTTTCTTTGGCAAGAAGATGTCTTTTCAGGAAAGGACTGTAACAAGTAAGGACTGATTTGTGGGCTGCAAAACGCTTATTTTCTACTTTTAGAATGACATCAGTTATATGGTTTTGTTCCCATAATTTTTTAAGATGTTCACCTAATCGTTCGTAATGATTTGTCGATATGTTCAAGGTTTTGATATCTGAAGCTGAAATTTTCTCTTTCTGTTCTTCTTTAAAATTTAAGCTGTTTTTAGATTGATGATCTTTTTGTTTTGTATCTTCAAACTGTTTGGAAATTGTTTTTAAATATAATATTTCTTTATAATATAAATAATATTAACTATACACTATGTGGTAAGATTCATTTTAACTAACAAAGACATTATTAACTATCACTGCTTATGCGTAAAGTTCTTAAGTTTCTTTAAATAATAAATAAACTACAGTAAAACCTGTCTATGGCGACCACCCACGGTTCCTTCAAAAAGTGGTCCTTTAGACAGGTGGTCGTCCAATACAGGTGGTGCTGTAATACCGTATTTCCGTACGTATTTTGAGCACTTTTTAGCCATTTCTACTAAGCAAAACTCGAGGTGAGCAAAAATAAGCGAATTTTTTCAACGATAGGTCAATATTAATATTGTATTTTATTCTTATCGGATAACCCGATTTACAGGAGTCGTCATGATATTATAAGACAGATTTAACACCAATATTTTAAAGATTAATACAATACTCGCATTTTCTCGATTATAATGCACACTTTCTTTTTTCCGACTTAATTAATTCGACTCGGTTCTTTTCGTTCGCTCCTCAGTTACGTGTATTACGTCATCAATATACAAGCGCGTCCTATCTCTCCATCACTTTGCTTTTGGTTTTCGTTAGTTTAATCTTATTTTAACTTTAAAAATACTGTATTTTTTAATATTTAATATTTTCTTAATTAATTAAGTACAATAAGAAAAATTATTAATTAATAATAAAACGATTTTATTATTTTTTCTCATTATACGATTTCATTACAATCGCGGAATCGAAAAAGGAAGTAAAACTGATTTTTGCATTAATGCGTTTATTGTTTTTTGAATATTTTGCCTGCGAAAATTACTTGGATATTATTTTTCTAAAAATATCGTGGAAATAAGGTAGGTTGATACAGAAACTATTTATCGCACGTGTACTGTATATGAGCTTCAAAATAAATAAATAAAAATAGATTTTATCAAACGATGAGATCAGCCGATTAATTGTATCGTGTACAATATTTTACACCCCCAAGGAAAATACTGTAGGTCTAGGGTAAAATAAATTTTGTTTTCCCACAGTTAAACTTCGCCGCTAATTGCTGTTGTGATAACTTTAATACGATCTTCTAACGACAGCACTTTGCATTTCGGACATTTTCCAACAAACTGAAATGAATTTCCTTTGTTGCTAGACTAATTTATTAACACCTGCACCTAATTTCAAGGGTGGGAGAAGTGCCCGGGATGGGTTCGAACGAGAGTTTAGACTAATTCATTATATTAGGAGGTGGAAACGTTGTTGAGATGGGTTCTTACAATAGTTTAGACCAGATACATTCGCGAAAGTGGTCGCTTATTACAGGTGTTGTATGTTGTTTCGGACCAAAAATCGATGCCCGCGGTCGCGTTACACAGGTGGTCGTTTAATACAGGTAACTTATACGAAGACTCTATGGATAAACTATTTCGTACCAGAAATTTTTGCCCGTTTTGACAGGTGCCTGTCGAATGCAGGTGGTCGCCTAAGCAGTTTTCACTGTAAGCATAAATAAATGTTTAGATAATACGATTTTTATAATAAAGGCGATTTTTGTTATAAAATATGGAGAAATAAATTTCTATCTTTACTCTAGATTTATTTGTTTTAGTACAGCTAAAACAAGAGTATTTTCGGTTAGAAATATACGCTTCCAATCGTGTACTTTCAACTTCAAGCTTTGCTAATTACATAATCGATCAAACCGCAATGAGTCAACATAAATAAAGATACGAGGAATAGTGTCCGATTTCCCTACAGGCCTAATAAGTTATAAGTATTTGATCGGATTTGAACTCAGATAATTCGAATAGGAAACTCTTTATCTTAGGGACAGTGCAATATGAAGAGGTTATACTAGGGATACAAGTTCAGTCCGGATCAGATCCTCAGAAATTTTCATGGATGGTTTGATCTGAGTAGCCTACACCGGAAATTTCACAATCTTGTTGCTCATTGCAGCCTGATCGAATTCAAAAAGTACAAAGCTCTAAGTAGTCGCATGACAAACAAGTTAAAAAATTAGAAAATGATAAGCTTGTAAAAAATTATAACATTAATAGCCCGATTCATTACGGCCATTGTTTGGCTTTGTAAAAAATTTTCATTCTATATTCCCATAAGATATTCTGGTAAATTACATTCACGTATTGGTTTTTTAAAAATAATTTAAGATAATATTTAAAATAGATATATCTCACATCATTCTGTAATAGGGTATTCAAGTTTGAACTGGAACACCATTGCTTATTTCGTGCTAAGTCAATACACAAAGAATCTCCAGTAGAGAATTCTGAATATTTTCTTTCTTGAAGAGATTCTTCTTTTGTTGTTTATTGTAAACAGTACAGATAGAAGTCTTTGAAAAATTCATATGTTCACAGTCTAAGGATCCTATATATCAATAATAATTATCAATGTCCAAGAATTCAATATTAATGTTTTCTAGTTAAAAAATCCGATTTTCTCGTGTGAATATAATTGACTATTTTCATTATTATCAACAAATAAAATAATATTGCGTATCTAATAATGATTTACTTATTAAAAAAATTTTAAATTCTTAATTTTAGTATGAAATTGATTGATTGTATTGTATTTACATAATAATCAATTAATATATACAGTATATATATTATATTCCAGCTAATGGGATGCCAGTTAATTGGGACTGTTAATATTTGGCGACATATATTAAAAGACGAAAACAAAAAAAGATAATACAGTGAAACCTAGTTAACCCGAATCGGCCGGGAGAAAAAATTCGGATTACGAGTTAACAAGTTTCGACTTATGGAGGTTCGTCTATAAATTAAGGTTTAGTGCATTGGTTTATAATAAACTATCCGTAAGATATTTTCCTGGGTCGTATTATGTAGAATTGTTGTCAATATAAACCTCTCGGTGTTGTCCAGAAACTCGAAAACGCTTAACCGAATAGTTAAATAAGTTACCGAGAAATGCTTTTCAGAATGGTTGATCAGTTCGCTTCTAAGTGTTTAGTAAGAATTTTTTTTTTAATTAATTGCGATATTTCGCGCCTAGAATCGATCCGTTTCACTTTCCCTTTGTTATATTTAGGGGAGATCGGGGCAAGATCGGCATGTTAAGCTTTACTTAAATTTTGTGTAATAAATACTGCTGTAAACTGAAAAAAAAGCTTTGCATATTGTCTATTGGAATGTTACCTTACTATAGAACTGGTTAAAATCAGTTTGGAAATAAAAATAATTAAAATAATTACAACTTTACAAGAAGAGAGAAATTGACGAAGTTGCCCCGGGTATAGGGGCAAGATCGGCAACTTCTCTCTTTTTGTAAAGTTGTAATTATTTTAATTATTTTTATTAAAGTTGCCCCTGGTATAGGGGCAACAGTAATGGGGCAAGATAGGCACGTATATAAAATTATGTTATTAACAATGTATAAGTTGGAATTCACTATTAAAACAAAGAAATACAAATCCAACACCCATTTAATATTATTACAACGAAATGCAAGTTCAAAGACATATATACATGAATAACAAATGCAAACATGTTTTCATTTATCATCTGTTTGATTTTTATCCTTTGCTTCTAATGTGGCTTTATGTTGCCGATCTTACCCCGCTAGTCATGATTTCGAAACATTAAGTACAACCCTGAGAACAGAATGCCAAGCCACGATCTGGCCACGTGAATAAGTTGAAGTTACATCCTTCTAACAGGAAAAGTAACTTTCGTTATCATGGAATTATAACAAAACCTGCCAATTCAATATAAATGGAAAAAAAATATTATATGGAATTGAACGAAAATGAAAATTTGCTTGATAATTCAACTACGCTTGTTGGAGAACAATAAAAACACTACACTCAACAAGCCACCAATAAAACTCAACTGCCTAACCTATAACCAAAGTCTCCTTTTAATTTGTTTTTTAAAAAAAGCGCTTGACAAACTTGCCCCGCATGCCGAAGTTGCCCCGATCTCCCCTAACAGAAGGAAAGTATGGCGATCGGTCAAAAAATGACCCCAGGATTTTTACATTTTTGGACTCAAAAGACCTTTCTTGAGGGACCGTGCTGTCCATGGTTTTGTTGCTGCGGACGGCTGCGGTTCCCTTGGCCTAGGCGGTGATCCTCTTTGATTTCCTCTTCTTTACCCGGATGCGACTTTCTTACCGGATTCGACACTTTTCACCCGGACTCGACACCTTTTCCCGGACGTGACCTCTCTTACCCGGTCGTGACCCACGGCCTTGTCTCCCGAACGTGACACTCGGTCGATGACAACGGATTTGACTCCCGATTGTGACTACCCGGACGTGACACGTTTATGTAGTTGTAAATGATGCTGCCAACGTTTATGTCAACATACCTAAATTTATTAATTGCCTTTTAACAAATGATGTTAGCTATGCCAGTAACCGTGGCTTCAGCTGAACGTAGTTTCTCGCGGTTGAAACTAATAAAAAATTATCTTCGATCATCAATAAGCCAAGACCGATTTACACTCTGGCTATTCTTTCAATAGAAAGCGCAGTACCAAACTCAATTAGTTTTATGTAGTGTTTCTCAAACGGGATCCCGGTTGTTTTTTTAACCCGGGAAATATCCCGGGAAATTTTTCTTATCCCTGGAAATCCCGCAAATTTCTTAAAAATTCACTTTTTTTCTTATTTTGTGTTAAGGTTAAGAAATTTTGCAAATAAAAAGCATAATTATCTCATGCACTGCCAGAATACATTTGTATTTATTAATTTTTAACCTACCTATTAGTTTTTTTTTTAAATTTTTGCTCGTTATGGCATGTCACAAATGGTCGATAATCAATACGTAGCTTATTTGTGCCACGACTCTGAAAATTCTTTACTTGTCAGAACCCGTAATATATGGAATAATTGTGCTTACGCTGTCTTAATTTTTAACCATGCCCAGTAGCTTCAATAAATGCGTAACGCCAGATTGTGCAAATTGGGCAAAGATACAAACGAGTATAAAGTCTGCAAGTATAAAGTTTTTCTTCATAAACCTGATTATTAAAGCCAAACGAATTATTGAGCTAAAAGCTTGATGCCGCTATTAAAGCAGCCGAGGTAGACCAATCAAAAATACTAGAGAGCAAAAGAAGTACTACAATCTCGAAAACAAACTCGAAATCTTCCAGGCTACAGGTGAAAAAACACATAATATCTGTCTTCTCTTAAATGCATTAAACACGATTCCAATCACATCAATTGAATCGGAAAGAGCATTCTCGGTAGCAAGACTTTTCATTACTACTCGTAAAATAAGAATTAGAGTGAGTGATTAGAGTATTGATCATCTTTGCTTTTTAAAATCTTATAAAAGTTTACAATATTTTGTATTATATTTTATTTAAAAAACGAAAATTACCTTCTAAGTTATAAGTTTGATCTAAGTTCAATTTTTAATTTTTAACTCAATTCAAAGCATTTTTGTTGTTGTTGTTGTTGTTGTTGTTGTTGTTGTATGCAGTTTCTAGCAAACTTTAATAAATTTTTTTCTATTTGTGAAAATTTCTACGTAATTCAAAGGTAATTTTTATTATATATCTTACACAGCATTATTAATATGATTTTGGATGATACAGAACTTTAAAATTACTTTAAAAAATGAAAAATAATTATATCATTTAATTTCAAGATATTTTGTATACCTTAAAAATAATTGATTCTATCCCGGGAAACAGTTCACTTTTATCCCGGAATCCCAGGACAAGCAAAAGACCGGGAAATGAGAAACCCTAGTTTTATGGCGTAATCAAAGATTTTGCGGCGAAAAAAGCAAAAAAATTATGTAATATTCATTTTACAAAAAATATATGTAACATCCTTTGTACTTATAATAAATAATTCCTTATTGTGAAATTTAAGTATAGGATTTGAATGTGCATTCTGGCCCCGTAAAATTTTTGAACCAGGCCCCGCAAAAGGTCACGCCGGCCCTGTATTTTAGGTTCGATCGGGCCTATGATGGGGCAGCCTCGTGCTGCGAACGGAACCCGACATATCGGGATGGACCGTCCCCGAAAAATTCCTGGAATTCTTCGACCCGGCGTGTTCGATCTCGTCTCCCCGTGAGTGGTAGGCTGCCATTTTAACCTCTCGACCATCCGGCCGTTAACTCGAATAGGGTTTGATACAGTATCTTTATGCTCTCCGAAATTTTAAATTTAAATAAAATAATTAACGTTCATCAATCGAATAAACTAATCAGAAACTTTCTATAAAGCGCAGGAAACCCATGCCACTAAAAATTAACTTCCCGTCATGTGACGGCGTGCGGGGTTGTACGTGTGTCAATTACAGTATTTTCGTCACGCACACTGCCAGACAGCTTCCGTGACCTACATACTGTAACTGCTATTCGGACCTGCTTTCTCGAACAATTTTTTTTAAAAATTACCGATGAATTTCTCCGACCAGCCGACATAGTAAATAAATGGAGTTTTGGTAAATTAATTCAAAAATAAATAATAGTCCGATCCTAAGTAAAAATTTTATCTTTGGCGGCAAAATTTTAACATACAACAGTAATAGAATAGTATGTTTGTGATAAAAAATACACGTGTTCTAGGCACAAAATATCGTAATTAAAAACTGTCATCCGTCCGTCTTTTCCTAATCTCGAGTATGGAGTTAGATAGATGAAAGATATAGAAAGATTAGGAGCAGGAGGCCCAGATTAACTATATAAAATCTTCTGATGCAAACGAATTAATCAGGGCCGTCCAGTTTGTATGGAGCCCTGGGATAGAGCGGGCCCACTTAATCTGTTGTTTTTCGAAATGAAGTATGTAGAATGTTTCTTTATTAATAAAAATCAATCAGTCTTAAAGATTTTATTTTCTGTTAGTAGAAATAACGTTATTTTATAGAGGTAGAAATCACTAAAGGTCCTAAATTTTCAATGAGCCAGGGAAAAATCCCAAATTTCCACCCTCTCGACGATCCTGAAAATAATACGTCTAGATTGTGTGTTCACATTTTGATGCAGTAACGATTTTGTTCCAGCCTGCCTAGTAAAACCTAATCCTGAAATTTTTTAATGTTCCCTGAAATTCCATCTTTCCAGATTTTACTGTATAAATTATTTGTGTTACTGATTGAAATATTAATTTTAACGAAATTTTATAAAGTATATTTTATCATATAAAACCATCATTTAGTTTTTATATAGACTGATTTAATAGTTTTTCAAATGAATGCCAAAAGAATTCAAGCATTAAGGATTTTTTCTGTGAAATTATACAGTAGAATTCCATTCTGGATTAGTAAGCTGAGTTGAAAGGAATAAATTCTTCAGATTTTTGCATTCTTTCAACCCAAGTAGACCTCTGTCAGTAGTAGAGAGTTGGAAATTTTGTACACATCTATTTGGTCAGCATTACATTAAATACATTTGCCAATAATTAACAATCCTAGTGTGACTGGGATACAGAGAAAATATGAACAACATAGAAGACATGCTTCACATTGATTTTTTACATTATAAACATCTTGTGGACATTTATTATATAATCCTTAGTAGTTTGTAAATGTGACTTTATTTATATATTCTATTGCATTTCAATTCTTTTGCACTTTATGCAAAGGAATTTTATGGCAATATCCTGTATTCTAGCTCAGTTATAATATTGTTTTTAAATTTTTGTGTCTTGCTTTTATCATTATATGTATTTAATATTTTAAACATTTTTGGTGTATTCTGACTTATTTATATCTTTTTGCAATTTTCATTTATGTTTTATGTCAGTTGATTTTCTCTTTATGTATTTTATATTGTTATGGGTCTTGTTATTCATAAGAGGGGGAGATCTGCTGTCCAGCAACATTTCCTAATGTAGACGAAATAAATAAATAAATAAAATTATTTTATATAAAAAATTTATTTTTTTTATAAAGATATACACTTGCTTTAAAATAACAATAAAATTGTCTTAACATAAAAAATACCATGAGTATTTCTTTAAAAATTACTATTATTCAATATTTACATTGAAACTTTTTACAATATTTACATATATTCAAACAAAACAGTTAATTGCTCACAATAACAGGTTCCTAACTATAATACATCTGTTTACATGACATCAATCTTTATTCCTTATAATTTTATTGGATAAACTAAACTAATTCTCTGTATCTTTTATGAACAGGTAATCTATCTAAACATAGAGTTCTAATATAATTTTATAAGTTAGATGCAATACTTATAGTGTATAGTATCATGATATAAAGCAGGACTATATAAAATAAAACATCACACCACATTTAAAAAAATAATTGATATAAATTTAATACTGGACAGCATTATCAACATATTTTAACTTTCATTTATTTAAAATATATATAAAATAAATGTGTTTTGTACTTTATTTAGGATAAATTGTTTAGCATTCATCTATTACAATTTTGACTTCACAACTTACAGATCTTCGTTGCTGATTCCAATATCTGTGGTAGTTGGAATAATGATTTCAATCTGTGGTGAAAAGCCATCCGCAAATATATTTGCAACTCTTAAAATTTCCATTTCACACCTTCTTCTCAATGAAGCTGGCACTTGCTGTAGTATTTCCATAAGATACTCTCCAAATTTCAAACAAGAATCTCGAACAGGTATTTGCCTATAATGTTATATCAAAATCATCACAAACTGATATAAATTTCTTCAAGACATTTTGAGATTCATCAAATAATAAAATTATTTTATAAACTAAAATTAAATTAAAATAATATTAACTTAAAATTAGCAGATCCATAATAAAAAACAGAAAATATTCTGTATTTTGGTTAATATTGATTAACTTATAGTACTCATATTCAAAGATTCTTTTTCTAGAAGTTAACAAAATTGTGATAGATCAAATATTCTTTGTGATAAATTTATTCCACAATTCCTAGCTGGCATGATGATACATTGTAATATAATTATTTAAATTTACATATAAAAAGCTGATTTAGACCTGACAATTAGAAACATGCTTAATTATTTTGAAAGCCATTCTACTCCTTAGTTCAAATAAATAGATATCCTTGTTTTAGCTTTTTATTTTTGACCAATTATTTTAATGGAATCACATATATGCAAACATAATTACATCTCATTTATTAAAAACAGTAATACTGAAAATGTTTAGTATTTGAAAAATTGCAATTCACTTGAATGTATTCTTTTTCAATTTAAAATTACTTAATCACTAAAATTTATAGATGTAAACACACATTTGCAAATATGGAGCCCATGTTTGTTTATATTTTTTTAATGATTCCAAACTATTAAGAATTCACACTGCACACAATTTGCTAACTCTAAAATTTGTAGTTTTCACAAAATAGGACAATAATTTTCTTTCTTAAGTGAAAATTTCTTTCCTTTACAGAAGATTTAACTTAGCACAGTGCTTTCCAATTCTTTTACATTATTTCTTTCCAAGAAATAATAATAATAATTAAATAAAGCTATAAATTTAATTCCCAATTAATAATTACAATATCACATTTATCCTTAGTATTATTAAAAATTCATTTAGTTCAGACAGATTTCCTAGATTCTTCAGGATTAGGTTAATAGTATTATTGTAATTTTTATATAATACAATCAAAATATAGTATATTCTAGCATACCCATTGAGAAAGTTTAATTCAGTTTCTTCATTGGAAGCACTTCTTTTCCTAGATTTATTTACTTTATGTGTTGAACATACTGAAGCAGGAGAAGGTGGAGATTCTAAATGATTTGTTTCTGATAATTTAGAATTATCCTGAAATTAAAACAATTATATATATATACATTTTACAACAGTATCAATTAAATTCTGCAATTATTTGTATTAATATAAATCATATATGCTTTATTAATTATAGGAGATTTTGTTATTTGTTATTGAATTTTTATCTTTTTTAATTATTGAGAAAATACAACCAGTTTCATTTTCTATCTTCAACTGAAAAAACTAGAAATTATTCTAATTCTTGCTTCATTATTCTAAATAACTATCCAAAATCAATATAAAAATAATACATATTAATCTTTAAAATTTATCCTAATCTTGAATATATAAAATCAATGATTCTTCTGTATACCATAAAGCATTAATTCATAAAAATATATTAATTTAAAAAATTCTAATTGTAAATAATAATTATTATTATTATTATATTTGTACATACTTTTATTAAGAGCAATTTAAAAAATAATATTTAAATTACATTATTATAATTATTATTGTATGCATGGATTGCATCCTACTAAATTAATACTAGTATACATCAGAGCAAGGTCAATGCATAGGTACAAGAAAAGTTATTACATTTTGTTTACATGCTATTCAAATATGTATCTGTGTTTAAGAATTTTCTGACCATAAGACAATATGTTTAGTATGGCAGCTTTCTGTAATGTGGTATACGTGTTGTTGTGAAGCTCTAATGTTTCTAAATGTTTGTAATATATGGTATAACACTTGTGCAAGACAGAGCTACAGACATAATAAGTATCTTATCTATTCTCTACAGGTGTTTTATTTCATCGGTGAGTTTTGGGTATTTACAAACTTTTTCAGTAAATGTATTAATATTTTGTATGTTATGGGTGTTTGCAACTACATCTTTGATGTACATGAATTTCATTACTCTTGTTTATAACTCTAGTGTTAGTGGAGTGTATTACAGCATAAGGTGTAGTTATGTGACTCTGGTGCCTAGTTCTAGGCCAGACCAGAGTCACATAAATAATACATTTGTTTTCTGTAGTTATGTGATATTTGGGTACTATATATATATATCCATGTTTAAGAATTTCCTGACTATAAGACAAGTATTTAGTTTATTATTATTATTTCTCCTACTTTACAATATACAAATTGTTTAAAATAATTTACAATCAGAGGTAAAAAACCAATTGAAGAGTCTAATAGCAAAATTTCCTTTAGAATAGTTGGTGATCTATTGGAAATCAGTCTCATTCAATATAGAAAATGATTAAAATAATTACATTTTAGCATAAATGATCTACCGAAATTACACATCATGATAAGCATCTAGTTATTGTGTAAACTGGATTTCACACCCATTGAAAGTGTGAGAATAAATTGGAGCTGAAGTGGCTTCAATCTATTCTTAAATTTTTACTGGTTTACAAAAATGAAACCTGAATGTTTCTTAGGATGTGAAAGTACGAGGGCTGTTCGAAAAGTTCGCGGCCTTGCCTATATGCGGTGCTGCGATCAATTTAATTTTCGGCAGGAATAATTCAGCCATCCTTGCTAAAGATACGATACCAATTTCCGCTTGATTTGTTGTAAAGTTTTGCCACGACAGCTTAGCAGATAGTCAATTTGCACATGCTTTGTCAAAAATGGAGAAGACAGAGACTCGTGCGGTCATAAAATACCTGACGAAAAAAGGGTTGACCGCATCTCAAATCAAAGCTGACATGGATGAAGTTTTGGGAGAGTCTGCTCCTTCGTAAACCACTGTGAAAAAATGGACAGCCCTTTTTAAATCTGGCAGAGAGAGTGTGAAACATGACCCTCGCAGCAGACGGCCGTCAACTGCTGTCACTGAAAAAAATATCGACAAAGTTTACGATTTG